ACCAACCTCATGGCGATTTTTTTAGATTCATGAACAAGTAACTGAGTTCTTGGATCAACATATGCGACGAAGAATGTCAAGATAATGTCTGCGGCAAAAAATAGATCGACGACGTTGTCTGCAATGTATAGTGGCCTGCTTTTGGACGTGTTAAGAAATGCAACCTCAAAAGGGTAAACCCACGCCGAGTATGCCACCAGAACCACCATGAATGTTTCCCAACACCTGCATTGATAAATTGGTCACTAAAAAATGCAACTACTTGACAACTTTTGTAACCGTTTTCGTTCATTCATGGATAAATCGCTATTGTTTTTTTGTCGAAAAACGTACATGCATACATAAACACATGTACTTATTTATTTTATTTTCTTCATTCATCTATAAAAATATCCGTTTAGGTGCTAAAAAGTTGACTATTGTCCGGAAAAATTTGTGTTAGAAATATGATATAAATGATGATCCAAGTACTATATAGTAATAGTAACATTTTTGTTAAGTAAAATATTATTTGACCTTGTTTAGGAGAGATTTTTTAATGTAAGTGAATACGGCCTAATACACTAAATTTTACAAAACGATTGATTAGATACTTAAAATCCGATTATTTGTAACAGTAACGGAGTGCGATTCGTAACCAAATTGACGAACCCATGCTTCATATTTCAGCCGACCAAAAAAACCAGAAAAAGCGGAAAAAAAAAAAGAGAAGAAAAAACAGAAAGAAAAGACAAGCTACCTGTATCTTGAATCCATGGGCGAGACGATCCATCCATTTGACTGGATAGGAGTTTGGTTGTAACTCGAAGCACCCAAGGGAGGAAGGATAAGCTTTGAAATGTTTCTTAAATCAAGCTCCGACGAAGACGACGACGACGAAGGGTTCACTTTTTCATGACTATTTTTATGCTGCTGCAGCTGCTGGTGGTGCTGCTTATGCGTATGATTATTCCAGCTGCAGACCTTCTTCATGTTGTAAGAGGCAGCTTCTGCAGCTGCTACTGGTTGCTGAAACCGATGATCAAGATTCTTGTGGGGACTAAACTTCCAAAACTCCATTAATATATGTACCTAAAACTCTCACGTTCAACTCCAAAACATGAGTTGATTTTACAGCAGAGGGGAAGTGGGGTTGGACCGTGTTCCGGATGGAGTGATTCTGGAAGGCGTGGGACGCGATGAGTAAATGGAAGAATATTGGAGAAAGTAGTGGCATCTGAATATGATCTGATTATTGTGGATGTGGGAGATTGGATAGTAGGTGGTGGTCCTTTCAATCAAACAACAAGCAGAAGTAGTGGCCCCGGAGCAGAACAACAACAAAATTTAATCTCCTAAATAGAATCGACTGTATAAATCTCTGCGTTTAATTTTGTACCAGGTCTTTCATTTATAATTTATCATCATAAGGAACGAAGTGAAAAATAAAGTATCGTGTCGGCTATCAACTAACTCACTTCCCTTCCTCTTTTATTAGAGTTTGAGATCTAAACTTACACATTATACAATGATCATATGCATGTTTGTGTGTGATGGGAAGAAGTTTCAGGCACCCGAAGATGATTCATCATGGATTGTGATAACACCTCAAGTGGACGTGGGGTAAGTCGCCGCCCAAGAATATTTCTTCAATAATTGCAAAAAAGAAAGAAAATCGAAAATTACAAAATACCGAAATTATCCTTAAAAACATAAAAACTGTAATTTCAAGTTCAACCCTTTAAACGACTCCAAAAAGCCGAGAACCACCTTACATCATGGGCAAAGCCAATGAGTATTGCTCGTCTTGTCGTTGTCTTTTCAGAATGGTGGCCAATTACATCATGGGAAAAATCAATAAGTATTGCTCGTCTTGTCGTTCCCTACCATTCTGACTCCAAAACACTATTCACTGCTGGAATCACTATTCACGATTGGCGATGGAAATCACGTTTCTTGGTTGCTTCTCTAGTTTTACTTTAAAATCGAATCTAACTGTTAAAATATTCGTAGTATTGAAGTCACATCTGAATAATAATGCCAACTATGTGCCTTTTTATTGGGTGGGGTGGGGGTGGGATTGTGTGTGTGTGGGTGTTTGAACAATAAGGCGGGGTTTCTCCATTTTAATCCTTGATAAAGATTGAAATTCAATTAAAACCTTATGCTAGATTATATATTCATTATAGTCCCTGACTAAATTTCCATGTCAGCATAAATATTAAAATTCATATTTTCTTGTTTCTAAATAATTAATGCGTTTTTTTGTTCCTATAATGCCCCTATTAAATATTTGATTTTAACTTGCTCCATATTTTCTGGTATTGATTATTGTCTGACTTTCTAAAACGATAAACATAATTCAAAAAAATATTAGTGATACGTTACAAGAATTAACAAATACCTAATTCAAATTATTAATTATCACCATTCAAAGCATAGAGGAAATAAAAATAGCCAAATCATATATTATACATAATCGAATGCACTTAATTAAATCATAGAACCTAGTCGAACGCACATAAATCATAGTACCGCTTAAACCATGTCCTAATGTGCTCAAATCATAGAACCTAATCGAATGCACATAAATCATAGTACCAAGTCAAATACACCTAAACCATGGTACCTATATGAATGCACCTAAATCATAGTACCTATATGAATGCACCTAAATCATTTAGGCACTGTCAATTCGGTACGATCAATTAGGTTGTGATTTCACATTCTATTTTCTCTATTTGTATTTTTTTTTTCCTTTTATTTATCTCTAGATTCACCGTCCATTTGGCATCTAAAAGCCCATTTTTCTTTTTTCTTTCGAATACAACGAGATTTTTGGTTTCTAAGTTTTCTGGCTTTTTTTGTTTGATCATGGTTTCTAAGTTTTCTGGATTCTTTGATTGGAATAACACATGGAGGTTTATGGTAATGTTATTGTTATAACGATCATGTTAAATTTGGATCTAGTTAATTAAGCATTCTTGAAAAATTAATTATATATTTGTTTCTCTAATTGGTTTTAAGAGAGTAATAAGGGTAAATAGGGAAACTAAAAATGCAATAAATTTATTAAAAAACTGATTAAATGTGACATGAATACTATAATCTAACATGAAGGACTATTTTTAGTTTTTAATCTTACATACGGTATTATTGAACAAGCAATCTTATTTAGGAATTGAAATGAAGTTTTCTATTTTTAGGGGTTTATTATGTTGGAATGAACAATAACTTGCCAACAATATAGGTTTTTGTTTGGTGGATGAACAATCATGCCAAAAATTAGGTGGATGTTACATACACGGTTCTCTTGTTAAGTATCTATCATGAATTTGAAAGGTAATAAATACCCAAAAAATTATGTGGCCAAAAGTAGAGCATCTCTCATACACAATAATAATTAGGTGATGCTAGAGTGATTATTTATTTAAATTAAGTTTTGCAGTTATCACATAATGAATCCAACAATTAACCGTTACTTAATGTGGTTTATAAAATATAGTATAAAAAAATTGTCTCACGCATACTATGATTAATATCCATGTAATGTTAGGTCGTTGTTGTTCGAGAAGTTGAAAATAACTAATAAAAAAAAAGTGAGGATACAAAATAAAAATGAAATGTTGCAGTTTTAATTTAATTAGGAATGTGATTGTGTAAATTCTGGTATGTTGTGTTTAAGATTATCTTTTAGATCTTCCCTATTAACTATTTTATTATTTGTAGGTCAAGTAAGCCTACTATATTTACATAGGAAAGGGATCCTCTCTGGATCTCTTTCCATCTAATCCACCTAGTTTGGGATTCAGGCCGTTAAAATTTGATCAAACGGCTACAGTTATTATCACTTTTAAATGGGCTCCCTGTTTGTAACCGTTGGATCAAATTTTAATAATCCGGATCCCATACTAGGTGAATTAGGTGGAAAGGTATCCGAAGAGGATCCCTTTTGATTTACATATAAATAAAGGGACTAGTGATGAGAAAGACCACCACAGAAAGTCCCCAACTCTCCTTTTTTTCTTCTTTCTCTCTCTCTATATGTGTGTCGGGCCCTCTTCTCTCCCTTTATTAAAATAGACTTATACACGTTATCCACACACTCCTGACATTGCGCTACGGATTTGGAGAATGATCTTCTACAACCAAGTTCAAAGGCCTCCTCAATGTCATCAATCAAGTAAATTCTAAAATACAATTTCAATTTCGATATTTTAATCAGCCTTGATAGAATGAAATATTTACTATGATGCATGGACCGTAAATATAATTTTCGTATCATATGATGTTTATGTTATTAACCTATTCATATTCATATTATTAGTTGACCCAAAAAAAACCTATTCACAATATAGGATGTACTTTCATTTCAATACAAGAACATAATATTGGACATATCTCGAGTCATACTATTATACATCGTTGCACTCAATTTTCTCTTCTTTAACTGGATTGCCATTTGAATAAATTCAAATTTCAAAATTTATATGGTAACTAATCACACTAGTCTAATGACAATTAAAGGCAATTGTAAATGCTCACAAGGAATTGCGTTTTCTTAGTGGCGATGCTGGCATCGGTTGATCGGGTTGAAAAATTAGAAACACAATTCCAACTTGCATCTCTAAAGACAAGATAAGTATAATTAGCGGCTTGTATTCGTTCACCATACTTAATCGTGTCAGGTGTATTGAATAACAACAAAATATTTGTGATTGCATGGTGTTTATTTTTTAGTATGCCTAGAGCACGAGCACATGCACTGAATTAAGGAACACTTGAATTTTTTTTTCTTAACTTGTATAATAACATATAATATGACGCACCGTGTTTCGAAGATATTGAAAAATCTATAGTTCGGAATCAAGACGTTATGCAATCACAAAACAACACGTCATTATTGTCATATCATATATTACATGTCGACCAATACTGAATTTACTAAAACACCCTTGCACATCTCACAGAAAGACCAATACACCCCCGATAGTACAGTCTCCTGTCCTCCGTACTCACAACAGAGTCGTCTTCTTGTTCAGTCTACGCTCTCCCTCCTTAGCCGAAAATCCTAAAAAATCCCAGACGAGCTTCGTTTTCTGGCTCTGTGGATGGTGGATCTATCCGGACCCGTATGCTTCTGAAGGATCCGAACCGGTTCTGTTTCGTTCGGAAACTGCAAATGGGGACCCGTTATAAATCTGCGTTTTGTGCTGTGATCGTCTTGGTGTGTTTGGGAGCGTCAGGAATCGGTTTGGTTTCGGCTCAGAATCGTAGGCCTAAGAATGTTCAAGCTGCGGTTCGGGCCAAGTGGTCGGGTACTCCATTGCTCCTGGAAGCCGGGTACGCTGCTTTCCTTCCAAATTTTATGTCTTGATAACTTTTGGAATTTATTGTGTTGGTTAAGTTTGAACCATGGTGTTGTTGGTAATGTCGAATCCGTTATTGTTTTATGCTACTGTGAAGCGGATGCTTTTATGAATTAGGGAGATGATGGTTGAGTAGGAATGCGTTTTGGCAGCGCCATGGAATGGGGCAATGAGAAAAGGGATATAATCCCAGCATTGTAAAAATTTTGTAGGAAGAGAAATAAGAACCGAGAGGATTTCTTTCGGAAGAGAAATGTGGGAGTACTGTGAAAGATTCAAACTTTTTTAATTGGAGATAATCAATTTTAAATTAATTTGAACACTTTTTGAATTCGTTATAGTATAAATAGAAATGAAATAATTCTTTAATTTGATGTGGTTTAGATGGTAGCAGTTGTGACATTATTCCGGGATTGTTTGTTTTTTTCCCTAAATATGACCAAAAAAATGATTCCTTTCAGTGATAACGAGCATTGGGGCTCTGCTATTTACTTCACGAGTAAACAGAATGAGCTACTGTATCTTGAAGGGGATGATCATCTTGAATGTACCTTTATGTAAGAATAAACTTAAAGTAAGCACGTGAATGAGCTTCCTCTGGAAAGTATTAGATAACAGAAGGTGGTTTTTGAGTTTAGAGAACTAATTGTCTTGGAACTCTGATGCACAAGTGATTTGCTTCGTTTGAATGTTCTGAAGTTTTTTGGTGGAAAGAAAAGGATAGCGCTTTGGAGAAGTGCTGTGATGCTAATTTTCTAGGTGGTATGGGAAGAAAGTAATATGAAGAATTTTGAGAATGTTAGGGCTGAGGAGGTGGAGTGCTTTTTAGGGGTTTTGGAAAATGGAGAGATCCTCTGTTTCTGTCATTGGATCAAATTGGAAGGCCTCTATCTTGTCTCCTTGTTTTATTTATTTTGTTTCGTGTTAAAAAAAGAAAAGAAAAAAAAGTAGCATATGTTATTAGTGTTGTGATTATATGATGGTTAGAGCAGAATCATGTCAATGAGATGATTATTCTTTAGGTAAGTTAAAATTGGAGTTCGAATTCTGGATTAGAATCAGCAAATTATTTCATCTGCTTTTTGTAAATATAGTTTATTTCATTTAATGTGCCTTTCCTAAGCTATTATTAGCTTCCTGTTTTCTAATGCAGTGAATTACTATCTAAAGAACAAAAAGACCATTTTTGGGACTTCATTGATGCCTGGCATAATAGTGAGAAGGATGATGCTGAATCTTATACTGCTAAAGGCTGCCTAAAAAAATTTGTAAAGCACGGACTCTCTATTTTGAACGAACCATTGGCATCTTTGTTTGAATTCTCTCTTATGATGAGATCTACATCTCCAAGATTGGTTCTTTATCGGCAATTAGCTGCAGAGTCTCTGTCTTCTTTTCCTCCGGTTGATGAAACTAATTCAAGCAATGACAGTGGAATTTCTGAAACAAATGAACATGTGGAAAGTAAAAGGTCAGATCCCTTGAACGTTGGTAGAAACCCGAAAAGGCCTAATGGGAAATGTTGTTGGGTGGATACTGGAGGTGCACTGTTACTTGATCCAGCAGACTTGAAAATTTGGCTTCAAAGTCCAAGAGATTCGTGAGAACACTCTTTCATTTTGCCCTGTTCTCTATCTCTAGTAAGAGTTGCCATTTGGGCACAGTTCCTTACTTTATTTTTCTTGGTTTGCAGTTCTGGAGATTCATTTCAGCAGCCTGAACTTTTCGAATTTGATCACATCCATTTTGATTCAAGTGTTGGAAGTCCAGTTGCTGTTCTTTATGGAGCTCTTGGAACTGATTGTTTTAGGGCATTCCATCTCACCCTGGTTGAAGCTGCAAAAGAGGTTAATACATCATGTTGTACAATTTATTTATATGTATTGAATATTGATGCATATGTAAGAAAGGTGAGTGTTGCATACATAATTTTATGCACATAATACATATCTTTGTTTGCTTGATAACTCCTTTGTGTGTGCTTGTATTTACTATACACAAAATCTTTCTAAAAGATTGGCCCAATAACTTACAGGGAAAAGTTAAGTACGTCGTTAGACAAGTATTACCTTCTGGCTGTGATGCGGAGATTGACCGTTGTGGTGCTGTTGGTACAAGAGATTCGTTAAACTTAGGAGGCTATGGAGTGGAACTTGCTTTGAAGAATATGGAATATAAGGCTATGGATGATAGTGCTATAAAGAAAGGTTAGAATAATTGAATCTAGCTGTTGCCCTTAGAAATTTCTGTTGACTTGTCTTCTCAAGCTCTTGAGGCATGTCCCAAGATCTTAAGGTCGTTTGAATGCAAAAATATAGGCATTGAATTGTTCCTTGATTAATATTAGTATATATGAAAGATGTGTGATGATAATTAAATTGAAAACTTTGTAAATCTCAAAATGTGCAAGGCATACACTATCCCAAGTCGTGAAAATTTTATATATGTTTCTAAAACCTTAGTAAACCTGATAACTCAGACATGCAGTCTTTAACAAGAAACGAGATTACGATGGAATGAGTGAATAAAATGTATACGAATCAACCGTTTTGAGATAGAATAGTGTTTTCCACTCAGTTTTGAAACCACTGATACATTTGCACTTAAAAAGCATTGCTACACTCTTCCATAAACTACGAGAGTGCAATTGGATTCCACTTGAGTGAGTTGCATATAACCTTTCTTTTTTTTTCAAGATCACTTATTTACAAAAAATATAAAAGCTTTCAACTACTTCAAACAAGTAACGCCAATAATTACCAGAGATTAAGAAATTTTGTAAAGCTGCTTAGCCTCCTAAACATGCATGAACGGGTACCTAAGTCATTCTGCTGACCAACTTAAGAGAGATTCGGATTAGCTGCTTCCACATGCACACAATATCTTGAGCAGTAGTCTGCATGCTTATCGCTCAACACAACTTGAATATACTCGACTGTCTTTACTCTTCTTCTAAAAATATCTTGACTCTCTTTAAAAAGTTCGGTTAGGCTGGCAAGTTGCAATTATCGTGAAATATGAATTGGACAGTATTTTGAATATTTCCTTTTTTCCCTCGCATCTCCATGTTTTTCTGCTATTTTGTTAATTTCAGGAAACAAAAATATGTTTTGTGCATGTACTCATGTTTAATTGTTCTTAGGATTTTTTTGGGTTAAAATATTTCTCATTAGTACCGGGTTGCAGGTGTCACGCTAGAAGATCCTAGGATTGAAGATCTCAGCCAAGAAGTCAGAGGGTTTATATTCTCCAAAATTCTGGTTTGTTATCCTTTATATATTAATGTTGAGTCACAGGCCCCATAAGTGTCCACTACTAAGGCTGCCATGCACCGATATTGTCTCCACTTACGACCTAGGCCCAATCCCCTGGGCGGTATCAAGCCCAATGGACCTCAGGTGCAATTAGAAGTGGAACACCTATATTTAAACCTTAGATTATACTTCTCCGATGTGGGACTCTCTTCACATCCATCTTGGCTTGTATTGAGCGAACCTTTTACACCAACAAATAGCACAAATTACAATAATTTTTGTTCTTAAAAATATGAGATTCAGAGTTTTAACCATGGACACTTTTACTCTCTTTGGCTTTCACTGGAAAGCTTAAAATAAAAGAATGGACACTTTTACAAGAATGCATAGGTTTACTGGACCCAACTAATGTTAAACAAAAGAAAGTAGCGGACGCATTAAAGCTTGTGGTCTTGTGTTGGTATCATTGCTGAAATAACAGGAATCCAGTTTTGTATTTTTTTCCTGTGGTGCTTATATTCAGGGTATGACTAACAAATCACCCAAATATGTGGAAAACATTTGAACTAATCTTATTCCAAGAATTGTGAAGCCCTTTTGAAAAAGTTTGATTGATAACTTGAGAGAAGAAAGTGGACCTCACATGATTTTTGTTTTTGTAGAAATAAATTATGTGGTTGGCAGAATTTATGAAAGATGATTAATTCTGTGATTAAAGATGAATTCAGATGTTAGAAGGTAGGTATCTTTAAAAACAAAGGTTCACAAAGACTCTCTTGCCATGATCTGATGCTATTATTAACAATGTCAGTTGTGATAATGATGGAGTTATTGCAGTTTGTGGATAATGAGTAATTTTGAATTCTGGATCTCATTATTTTTCTCCATCCACTTTGCAGGAACGCAAACCTGAACTCACTTCAGAGATAATGACATTCAGGGATTATCTTTTGTCATCAACAATATCTGATACACTTGATGTTTGGGAACTAAAAGGTATCTGCACGTTAAGGCTTTTCTCCTGATTTTGATGAACTACAGTATACTAAAGGTTTTCTGTTCAACAGATTTAGGACATCAAACTGCACAGAGGATAGTTCAAGCCTCTGATCCTTTGCAAGCAATGCAGGAAATTAATCAAAATTTTCCAAGCATTGTCTCTTCCTTATCTCGCATGAAGGTAAAAAATTTGTTTGCACATTTTGAGTTTGGTTCGAATGTTAAAGTATTGTCTCATTTTTAAAATATTTCAATATATATATATATGTATATAATTTTTTTTTTTTTTGCTATTGTCATCGATTTACTGAGCATTTCCTTTGCAGCTCAATGATTCAGTTAAAGATGAAATAAGTGCAAACCAGAGAATGATCCCACCTGGCAAGTCCTTAATGGCTCTGAATGGTGCTTTACTCAATATTGAAGATATTGACCTTTATCTGTAATGCTTTTGCTCTTACTGAAGTTCTTTTCATCTTTTCACACCAAAGAACTTGCACAATTATCACTGTTTATAGTATCACCCGGTAGTGATGCATGTAGTTGTTTGTTATTACCAATTTAAATCTGTAGACTTCTTTTAGCTTGATAAATGTGTAGTTGAGGCGGAAAAGTACAGGCTTTCTTTCGATCTTATACATTACAGTGTAATTTTATGTCGTGAAGCACTTTCTATTTGGCGGTTAATTACAGATATACACCTTAGGGCACATGAAATTAGAAGAATCTCTGTTAGATTTCTATATTTCTTAGAAATTTTTTCCCATGTGAACATGACTTAAAATGTATATTTTTATTCTTTCATTTTTGTATCTGTTAAGTGTTTAGTTTAGTCAAGTTTTTTTTTTTTTTTTTTTATCATATTAATCAATTGGTAGACATTACCCATGCTCTACTGTCTTTCGCAGTTTGAAATCATATTAATCATGTATATCATCATAGATTACCTTCATATGTGATCTCATCATAGATTACTTTGGCAGTTTGAAATGAGCTTGTTCAAAATTATAGGGTGCTCTCCTACTGTAATATTTGAGTCTTTCTTTCATGCTTGCACTGGTGTTTACTATCCTCCATAAGTAGTGTAGAAGGAACTTATTTCATGTTGCATGCATGTGCTGTTTCAATCTGTTTAGAAGCATGATTGTTTTGTAACTGTCAGTGAAATGATGCAAAAATTGGAAACATTGAGAAACTCAAAGAAATATGCAACAGTTTGTTTAATAATTAATTACAAGTGTATGAAGTTGAACAACTGGTCAACTTAGTCTGTTAAATGCTCAACTTTTCTGTGTTGAAAAAACCCGCACACTGGACCTTGTTCTTTGATGTAACCAACGGCAATAGACTAAACTAGCAAATATAGAAAACTTAGAAACACACAAGAATTATACTGGTTCGGCAGAACTTATGCCTACGTCCAGTTGTGATTTCCCTAGGTAGAGAAATCACCACTTCTTTGATTAATAATAGAGATTACAGAACTTATGCAAACCCTAGAACTAATCTCAAAACTCTCTGCTGTTTGGCTGTTTTCTCTCTGCTGTAAATCAGCCTTGCCGCACCCTATTTATAGATATAGGGTTGGCTTACATGTCCTTTACAGATTATAATTCCTATTCTAAGTGGAATAGGAAATTAGACTTCCTTTCCAATTCCAAATAGACTTCTAGGATTTCTAATCTAAATTGAATAAGGAAACTAAGATTCTTTCCTAGCCCTTTTAGGAGAAGAATTGGTGCACCCTTTCCCTAAAACAATCCTAAACAGAAAGGGACACAAATTGACGAGCCAAAAACTAACATTCTGTTGTTCATTTGACACTCATTCAAGTGTTTACAAGTTTAATGCTTATCTGCTCAACCTCTGACATTGCATTTCTTTGATATTCTCATAGGTTGCTTGACTTGGTTCATCAAGATTTATCATTGGCTGATCATTTTTCAAATTTGAAGGTAGGCATTCAATCTTTAGCTATGATTAGCTGGAAGAGTGTACATGATGGGCTAATATGTGGCCAAGTTAGTAAAGGACTGTTCACTCCATCAATTGAAATGCTAACCTTGAATTTTATTCACCCAATGTTATAGAGTTTAATTATGTGTATTTTGACCCCATTCCCTCTCTGTTTTTGTTTTTCTTTATAAATTACTTGTCTTTCAGAAGCAATTTTTTTGGTTGCGAAGAGCAACTTTTAGATTAGAATTTCATTCACAGGTGACCTTATTTAAGCATATGACCTGACACTATCATTAATCTTCTTTGGTCAGTCAGTTGAATACCTTTGAATAGAGTACACGAATCCTTGGTTTGGTATGCCACTCATTTCTTATTTTATGCTTAAAAATGCTTACCATGGTCCAGGGTGAGATATCAGATGGTCATCCTTTATGGGTGAATTCCAGCTTAGAATATGGATTAGGAGTTGGGCTAGGTTGATCTTGGTCTAAGGTCATTGCATATCTGACTTTTAGTTGCTAAGCTCCTGGCCTAGCTCTTTAAGCTTACTTTCAACATTGATATGTAGTAGCCTTGAACAGTGTTATTCAATGCATTTAAGTTGGCTGGCTTTATTCTTACTATCAATTATCACAGATTCCTCATAGCACTGTACGGAAACTCCTTGCAAGTCTGCCTCCTCCAGAATCTAATATGCTCCGTGTAGATTTTCGTTCAAAACATGTTCAATATCTAAATAACATAGAAGAAGATGCTATGTATAGGCGATGGAGGAATGATCTAAATGAGGTGGATATATCGCTTCTTTCAGCTTTTTTCTCTCAGTTTTGGATGGCATCAATTGTCCATGATTTTCTGGAAGATGATTCCTACAATTTATTTTGTGTAGATTTTGATGCCAGTCTTCCCCGGTCAGATACGTTATATCCGGAAAAACCTTTTCCATGCAGTTTCTGTTATTGATCCATCAACTGTTTGTGGTCTTCAGGTAAGTTTTATGTCTCCTTACCAAGTGATATGTAATATTCTTGTTTCGTGTTAATTTTCTTGTTATGTGTACTGATGTTTTTATTGTTAAAATCTTGCAGTCCATCGACATGATTTTGTCTTTGTACGAGAATAATTTTCCTATGAGATTTGGAGTTGTATTATATTCTTCGAAGTTCATCAATCATATTGAAGCTAGTGGCAGTGAATATGACCATGAAATTGGGGAGGATATGTCCAGCTTGGTAATTTCTTCTCCAGCCTTTCGTATTTCGTTATTCTTTTGTGGCTATTTAATTAAAATTGTTCCTTAACTAACCAGCTTCTATATGTCTCTGCGTTCAACTCATATACAAAATATTGTTCATGTCTTACAGCAGCAATTCTTGAAAATGTTTTTTCTTTGCAGATTATACGTCTCTTCATTTATATAAAGGAGAATCATGGAATTCAAACAGCTTTCCAGTTTTTAAGCAACGTAAGTGTGATCCCATGCTTCTGTCAAATATTTATTCATATTTATCAATAGAAATCCCATTAGAAAGATTTTGCAATCACAATATAATATTATTATTATTTAAAAAAATAGATGAAAGCTTTTCGCTTAAACCAATTAAAATACAAGAGCGGACAAGCTGTCCACAAAGTAAAACATAAACAGCAACCGGATAATGAATGTGATCATCCTGAACTTAAAACCTCCATGAAACTCCACAAATTTAACTAATAGCGGCTTTGCAGTTAAGCCATATATCTGAAAACGATATATCTCTAAAGTCTGAGAAACAGATGCTATAGTGATGACCATAAACAGACTTTATCCCATAACTCACCCCTCTGCTGACTGCATGTTCCTCAATGATCAGCCTATTTTTTTACCATGGTTGCTTTTGATCTACTTTTCTGTAGCTTTTCTGTTGTAATGATGTCGCAATATTGTTTTATTGCATTACTTTGTGTTTTTTCTGTGTGCTAAGTTTGCTTAAGTAGTTAAGTGTCCCTAATTATATGCCTTTGCTGCTTAATTGACTATTCTAAAGCACCTGACCTGTTTCTTGTTAAGCACGTTGAAAATCTGTATTTGTATGTTTTTTTTTTTTCTCTGCTTCTTATTTCTTTTTGTTTTTAAGATTGATTATAAGAACTAGACTTACTTTATCCATTGTAGCATATAGGGGAGCTACATCCTTAGAAAAAGGGGACACATTGTATCCTGTACTTGGAACACAGTGAAATTCTTTATACTACTGAATAATAATTTTCCATTTTTGTATGTTTGTACCATTGGCTGAAAATAAATGGGCCTCATGTTGAACTCATTCAGTGAGGCAACTGAGATAAGTACAAGTGCCAAATGAAAACCCTTTACCTTTTTGTTGCTTTCTCTTGTAATTTAAATGATTTCAAGTTGTCTCTGTATTTTCCAGTCATCCTCTTGTGTAACGTTACTTCTCAATATGCAGTGACATTTGTTGATGCTATCTATGACTTGTAAGACAGTGCGGTGGGAAATAATAGTTTATAATTCTTATGCCTAAATAATGTTATTCTGTTTGATTCTGGACATGTCAGATAAACAAGTTGCGGATTGATTCTGAAGATTCTGCTGATGATGCTCTTGAAATGCACCACGTGGAAGGAGCATTTGTAGAAACTGTATTGTAAGTGTTTCATAAATTTTATGGTGATATCAATACTTGTATGTTAATGAGGATTGCAAACAAATATACATTTACCTTATTATATTTATGAGTGATCTAAATTATGTGCTCATTCTCCTTTTGTAGGCCCAAGGCAAAATCTCCACCTCAAGATTTACTGCTAAAACTGGAGAAGGAGCAAACTTTCAAGGAACTTTCTCAAGAAAGCTCCATGTTTGTCTTTAAGCTGGGTTTGGCGAAGCTGCAGTGTTGCTTGTTGATGAATGGGCTTGTGTTGGACTCGAATGAGGTGTTGTTTGAGATCTTTAGATAAATCTTCACAATAATAATTCTACTTATCTAAGAATTAAGTAGAATACTCGTTACCTCATCTTGGTCTCACTAATGGGGTCCCAGGAGGGATGACCTATCAGCAGTTATATATTTAGTATTTCCACCATCCAGAATCACTTGCAGTTGACAGCCTGAAGTTCCTAAAACTGAAGCAGTCAATATGTCAATATTGTTCAACTTTATGCTATCTGACTTTCTGATTAATTATGAGGGACCGTTTGATACCCATTTCATTTTTAGTTTTGTTTTTGTGTTAGAGATAGAAAGGAAATACATGGGAGAAATGAGGGATATAAAAGAGTGGAGGAAGGATTGTGGGAGAGATGTAGGAAGAAATGTATGGGGAAAGGCACACAAAATGAAACTAAAAACCAAAACTATTGATGTTTTTTTTCACTTTCAAGATGTATATTCACTTGTTCTTTATTTCTTTCCCTCTCTTTCATCATCCTTCTTCATCCCTCATTTCCTCCATATACCCTACTCATATCTGAAGCACAAAAAAGAGAAAACTAAAAACCAAAAATACAAAATTGTAATCAAAGGGGCCCTTCATCTCGGATATATTTAATCATTTTGAATTCCCTGACCATTGGCGCCTATAGTTAAACTCAGTAATCTTTGCACCTCTCATTACAGGGTATGTGAATTCACAGAGTGAGCTTAGAAGGCACAATCTCAACATGCAATATACCTAACATATCAAACTTTATCATTCTTGCACTTGCAATTTGATTTTAAATTTTACCTGGCAACTTCAGTTTTATCCATTTTATAATATCTGTGTCTCTAATCATTTTATTAAGCTACTGTCTCACATAAATTTTTTATGTATTCTGTTTTCCTAGATGTTGTAAACCATGATTTGTTTTGGTTTGCATTGATCAGGAGGCTCTTATAAATTCCATGAATGATGAGCTGCCCAGAATACAGGAGCAAGTATACTATGGGCATATAAATTCGCGAACAGATGTTCTTGATAAGTTTTTGTCAGAAAGTGGTACGACTCGCTATAATCCACAGGTGAATCATTTTACAATGCTTTTAATCCAAAATTTAGAATATTTATATATCTCAATTGTTTAACATGTAGTGTGGTTTTCTAGATTATTGCTGGAGGAAAGCCAAGGTTCATTTCTCTGTCTACTTCGGTTTTTGGAGGGGAAGGTGTCTTAAATGATATTAACTATTTGCATTCTCCCGAAAGTAAGCTTTGGTTGAAAATATTAGTTCACACGTCCAATTTTCCTCAGTTAATTATTAGTTATAACACATGGTTTATTTTGATTGCACCCAGCTATGGATGATTTGAAGCCCGTGACCCATCTTCTAGCTGTGAATATTGCATCAAAGGAAGGGATGAAGCTGCTTCGTGAAGGCTTGCACTATCTGGTTTTAACCTTGATACTAATCTCACTTGAATTCTTCAAATTTGTATTATGTGTTTTGCTGTCATCATTTCACCATAATCATGTTCATCACTTTTATCATAATTATTATGTTGCTTAATGTTTTGTATTTATTATACTTATTCTTAATTCAGATAGAAGTGTCCAATCGTGCTCGAGTAGGTGTGCTTTTTAGTGTCAATCAGGATGCTGATGTCTCTAGGCATCTTTTTGTGAAGGTGTTTGAAATCACTGCATCCTTGTATAGGTGTGTATTCTTATCAAAGCTTAATGGGTTTCTGTCAATGAATGCATAACTCATGTTAAATTTTCATTGACTTATTATGCAGCCATAAGAAAAAGGTGTTAGATTTCCTGGATCAGATGTGCTCATTCTATGATCATAATTATTTGCTTCCATCATCTAAGGGTGCTGAGAGCACTCAAGCATTTATAGATAAAGTCTGTGAATTGGCTGAGGCTAATGGATTGTCATCAAAGGCCTACAGACTTGCTCTATCTGAATTTTCTGATGACAAATTGAGAAAATATATGAATAAGGTATGCGTTTATCTGTATGCTTTGTCTTTTTTATCTTTACATGTAAGTTTACTACTTTCACTAGATGTCTACTGTCCTGATAAAAACTGGCTTGCTAAAGGTCCTTACAAATAGTTCTATGAAATCTCTCCGTGATCAAACCGTGGTTATCTATTGTGAGAATGTTCTTATGATAGCTGTTTATGATGGTTTCCAGGTATCACAATTTTTTTATAGGCAGCTTGGCATTGAAACTGGTGTTAATGCAGTCATTACTAATGGAAGGGTGAGTCTTCTTTGTAGACATTCTACTTAGTTGGAAGTCATATTAAATGTTATTTGAACTCTTTTAACTAAATAAGATTGGTTTGTTGGACCAATTTTTCATTTTCTGTTTGCATAACAATCCGTTCCGTTGATCATTGTTTCTTTGTTTATTTGAATTTGACCATAGTCTAGAGATTTAGTATTTTTAAATGATTATCTTTGCAATAAGTTCCCCAATCTTGGCAGTTATGACTTTATTAATGAAATCATTATCCGATAGGTGACACTCGTAAATGATGGGGGCACATTCTTAAGCCATGATTTACGTCTTCTAGAGTCCCTAGAGTTTGCCCAGAGAATAAGGCACATTGTGGAAATTATTGAAGAAGTGAAGTGGCAGGATATGGATCCCGACATCCTAACAAGGTTTGTTAGTTTTAACACTTATTTTCTATAGCTGTACAATGTGCACTGCTGACTACAACAGCTTAAATTTCCCTGTTTTCTTTGACTTCTATATATTTGGAAGATCCATCCTCTGGTGCAAGTACATTAGGGTAATATGAACTGTCCATATTTGGAAGATCCATCTTTCTGTTAATCTGGACTAGGCTGTCTGATGAGCACCTGTATTCACCGTATTATGTGTTAATTCATTAATAACTGCTTTCGCGTTGCAAATTTTACTGATCAATTTGTCCAGAAATATTTCTGTAAACTCAAGCCACCATGAGTTCTATCAACACCACTACTTTCATTTTTGAACATGGGATTGGTGGCTATTTTTTGGTGATATTTTTTCTTCACTAGAATTTTCTTTCTTGAATTGATGTTGATCTTTTTTGTTGGCCGTAGTCTCTTTTATTCATGGAAAGACTAATGGTGATTTTATAAAATGATTTGTGCAGCAAATTCATTAGTGATACTATCATGCTTGTGTCATCTTCCATGGCTATGCGGGATCGAAGTTCTGAAAGTGCACGCTTTGACATTTTGAATGCACAATATAGGTGAACAGATAATTGGTTCTTTGAGTCGATGTATATATGTGGAATTACAACTATATGGCGTATTATCATTCAGTTTCACTATACCTTGTAAACAGTTTCGATATCATAGATAGATATCTAATATTTAATAGAAAAGCACTGGCATGTTCCTTGGTGACAATTCTCCTGGATACTTGGGTGTATATAAATAATACATTTTATGGTGTTGTGTGCAAAATCATTTAATTATGAATAAACAAGCCAAACCCTTCAAAGTAGGCAGTTGATTGTAGTTTGTAGGATTTAGTGAAAACTAAAATCGAATGAGGCATCTTTTGTAGATTTCTTGTGTTGTTATCTGCTTTTTATGTTAGTTTCTATTGTGTACGAAAGTAAAGCTTTTGAAATTTATGTATCAACTATCATGATTAAGAGAAGATCATTGTTATTGAGTTGATTCTCATGGATAGGTCTATAGTTTATGTGATTTTGATGTTCTTTTATATCTTACACTTATTTTTTCTTTATTCTTTACAGTGCCATTGTTTTGAACAATGAAAATGCTAGTATTCATATCGATGCGGTTATTGATCCTTTAAGTCCATTTGGGCAGAAGCTATCATCAATTCTTCAAGTTCTATGGAAATACGTTCAGCCTAGCATGAGGATTGTACTAAATCCGTTGGTGAGTTACTATTTGCTACGTTGCTTGTACTTCATTTATGTGATACATGATCACCTTTACCTCTTTGGTGTTTCTTTTCATTTAAGTCTTTGCCATCTTGTCTACGCCATTTGTAATTTATTGTTTCTGTGCAATACAATTTGTTTCTTTTCCACGAAAAATAGATTACTTAGAATGGAACGGACCACCCTCTTGGGGTCTACCTCATAATGTGATTTCTTGATCCGAACATTCTTTTTCACTTAGCTATTTAATTATCATCTTAATTTTTTCAGTGTTTTTATCAAATTCACTATGTTTATTCATATGAAATATTAACTTCCGAGTTTTCTATTTTCATAAGAGGACTCAAGCAAGACAACACTTTTTCTGTATTTTCTGCCCTTCCCTGGTCTCCTCAGCAGATAAAAGGATTCAACAAAATATCTATACTGCTTTTTTTTCCTCATTATAATCATCTTTCCTTCTTTATTCAGTACTTGTTGCATCAGAAGCTTAGATATCCTTTTTATTTTCCAAGTCTGACTTTCTCTGTGTTGCTGGTATGAAAAGAGATTTAGGGAGGGAAATTTTTGTCACCATTTACAAACATGGCTAAAATCTGATTAATGTCAATGACTCAATATGATTTTTGGTTTACATTCAAGTCGATCGAGAAATTGCATGCTTGACTCATGATTGGTACAGCCTTAAGAAACAGATATTCATTAATGGAATGTGAAAGAATGCAGCACACAGGAAAGCTGTCTAGTGGCTCACAGATCCTCACTAGCAAACTCTAAGAATGAGGGCCAGCACAGATTTTAAAATAAAAAATTAAAAACAGAAAAACTAATCTTAAGACACTCAACAACTATCCAATCGGACAAAATAACAGAACAATGATCATTACTTTTAGTTTGAAATGGGAAGCCCATGTGGCTGCCCAAAACCAGACCCTCTTCTTCAAAAGAAACAACCATCATAACATGGCTCCCTGGTACCACACCCAAACTTCTCATGTTTGGCATTGAAAAATCAATTAAGTTACAAATTTATAATGGATTGGCGTTAATAATGATGCCAATTCATTTTGACTATAACATAACATCACTTTGTTCTGGATACACTAAGTTACAATAATTAAAAGGTGTATGACCACTAGATAAAGGAAAAGAAGAGTAGTAACTGACACTTTTAAATAAAACACGGTATCATAATTTATTTCTTTATTTTGGCTGTGTCTTTTGAGGTTTGACCTATTTTCATAAGTCATGATGTGTTTTTACCTGTTTCACATTGAAGCTGTTTATGAGTTTTGAATTCTACAATTAATAACAAGGTTGTTATGTGATGTTTCGCTTGGTATCTGTATGTTGATAGTACGTTTATAACCGACAAACATTATTTTCCATCATCAAACCAAATTGTCTTTGGTTAGTTTGCAGTTTACTTGCTGCTGCAGTACTCTTAATATTTTCCACATTCTAACATTTGAATTCATGGCAGAGTTCTCTTGTTGATCTTCCTCTGAAGAATTACTACAGATACGTCCTACCAACAGTGGTATGCCAGATGAATGTTTAGTTATAGCGCTAAAACTGTTTGCTCCATTGGAATGTAGACGCCTGTTTCACACTCTCAGTTGTGCCATATTTGCAGGATGACTTCAGCAGCACTGACTACACAATAAATGGGCCAAAAGCTTTTTTCGCAAACATGCCACTGTCCAAAACTCTCACGATGAATATTGATGTTCCTGATCCATGGCTAGTTGAGCCTGTTATTGCAGTGTGAGTTTCATCATTAAGAAAGTTTGTAGTTACCATACTTTCATTAGCTCTGCTTTAAACAATGTTATGTTATGATTCACACTTTTTGTGCTTTGCCTTTACTAATTTTTTTCTAATTATACCCAGCCATGACCTGGATAATATTTTGCTTGAGAATCTTGGTGAGACACGGACATTACAAGCTGTGTTTGAACTCGAAGCTCTTGTTCTTACGGGTATGATTTATTTGTTTTCTGTTTTTTGTTTTTTAGATAAATTGTAACTTTGAACTAGCATGCAATTTTACTCCCAGTTAATGGTGAGGCGAGGGTTACCAACTATGTTGTGATATGCACTGACAAGTCATCTTAACCAGGTCATTGTTCTGAGAAAGATCATGATCCTCCCCGAGGCCTTCAGTTGATTATTGGTACTAAGAGTACTCCTCACTTGGTTGATACTCTTGTGATGGCCAATCTGGGTTATTGGCAAATGAAAGTGTCTCCTGGAGTTTGGTACTTGCAACTTGCTCCAGGTAGAAGCTCTGAACTTTATTTTCTGAAAGAGAATGGTGAAGGAAGTGGGAGCAAAACATTATCCAAACGTATCACTATGGATGATTTACGGGGTAAAGTAGTTCACATGGAAGTAGCAAAGAAAAAGGGAAAGGAGCATGAGAAATTGCTGGTTCCTGATGGCGAAGACAACTCACGCGATAATAAGGAGGTGAGTTTTTTCTGTTATTTTGAAATAATTGTTCAAACGCCTACTAATGTAGTAAGTTAATAACTGAAAATGTGTTTGTTGCAGTCTTACAAATGCCATTTTTTATTTTTTTGTATTTTTATTTCCTTTCTGTTGCAGGGTAGTAGCTGGAACTCCAACTTCTTGAAATGGGCTTCTGGTTTTATTGGTGGCAGTGAGCAATCTAAAAAGAGTGAAAGTACTTCAGCGGTGAGGAATTTGTGTGCTTCCGTTCTTTTGTTCACGGGATTGTATTAACTTGTTCAACCACTTTCATTCTTTTTTTGGGTATTGCAATTTATCATGTGTCATATTTTCAATCATTGCATTGGGCAACCACATCAGTTTTGGGTATTGCAATTTATCATGTGTCATAATATGCTATTATGGAGAAAATATTTGATGTTCCTATTGGAATTTGTTATAGATCAGTTTTACACTTGGTTTCTGATTGTGTTTGAAAAATACTCTCTTATCTGGTTTTGGATAATTATTAGGAGCAAGGAAAGGGTGGACGACATGGAAAAACGATTAATATTTTCTCTATTGCTTCTGGACACCTGTAAGTGTTTTTTCTTTCTTGATTTTTATTTTCTTATTTACTTTATGCTTCCACTTGTCTTTTTGGGGGTGAATTCTACACCATCCTTTTGTTTATCAAATTTTTTTCATGTTTCTGCTATGTATTATAAATGGATGGTAAAATTTCACTTACGGATAATCCAAATGCCATAGTCATGAATTGTTGAATACTCAGAAAAAGGTTTCCACCCTCTTAGTTGTATAGTGAAATAAATTTCGCTTTGAAAACTATTGTAATGCATAGTAAGTTAATAACAATCATCATCATGGTAGGACGTTTACCTTCTTTTAATTTATTTATTTAAGCATGCAATCTTGTAATGACTTTCTTGTGATATATTTTGGCAGGTATGAACGTTTTCTGAAAATCATGATTTTAAGTGTCTTGAAGAACACCCGCCGTCCAGTCAAATTTTGGTTCATAAAGAATTATCTCTCTCCTCAGTTCAAGGTTATAAAGTGTTTTAAGTTGTAAATTTATCACAGTTTTGTTTTACTTGCTGAGAAGAAAAGAGAGTTCTTAACATGGATGCTTGGTCGTTGTTCTTATATGCAGGATGTCATTCCACCTATGGCTCAAGAGTATGGTTTTGAGTATGAACTAATAACCTACAAGTGGCCTACATGGTTGCATAAGCAGAAAGAAAAGCAACGGATTATTTGGGCCTATAAAATCTTGTTCCTTGACGTTATCTTTCCCCTTTCGTTGGAAAAGGTATTGACATTATGTAATTCCTAATTGCCCTGTTGCCTTATTAGGTTTTCATCCCTAGTTTCTTGTACATTTGACATCTACGATATTTTCCAATATCTGCAGGTCATTTTTGTTGATGCAGATCAAATTGTAAGGGCAGACATGGGAGAGCTCTATGACATGGATATAAAAGGACGACCTCTGGCATATACTCCATTTTGTGACAACAACAGGGATATGGATGGATATCGGTTTTGGAGACAAGTAATTACCAATGACCTTTTCTTTCGCTCGTTGTTTTCTTCAGTTTCTATACTTATGCATCCATCTACCAAATATGTTGCCAATTTTTGGATCCGTGTCTGTTTAAAATGTTAAAGGAATAATTTCTTAATTCAAATTGATTGAGTCTTGTTAATTTTTTGGAACAGGGTTTCTGGAAAGAACATTTACGGGGGAGATCCTACCACATAAGGTCAGTCAATACATGCTTTATCAGGACTTAAAGCCAAAAAATTAATTACTTCATAACAAAACAGTAAGGAAAAACCAGTGGAGTTGACATGTTGATTTTGTGCAGTGCTTTATATGTTGTCGATTTGAAGAAATTTCGAGAGACTGCAGCAGGAGATAATCTGAGAGTTTTCTATGAGACTCTTAGCAAGGACCCAAACAGTTTATCTAATTTGGACCAGGCAAGTGGTTAAGTTCATGATTCGCAGTTTTGATTGCATTGTCTCATATTTACTCTTCCATTTATGATGCATTGAAGCCAGAATTAGTGTGCGACGTCTCTGATTTTCTTTGAATTTTAAGTTACTATAAATTGATTTTCTAGGACGCGTTTGTAACAGTATGCTAACAATATTTGGGGTCCAACATGTGAAAGGTTTGATTAATTAGGAAGGAAATAATTAAAGAAGGGGTTTGAAAATCAGGCCACACTGCTCTTTTACCAAGGATAAATTTGATTGTTTTTTCATTATTTCCTAAGGCTTTACTATTCATAAGGATATAGGCAAGCAATTGCTTTATTCTTAAGTATTTCACCTCTATACATGTAAACAATGAAAATGGATCCATGTTTGCTGCCCTCATCGAGTGAAAATAACCAAATGCACTCTCTCTCTCTCTCTCTCTCTCTCTCTCTCTCTGTGGAGGAAATAAAATGAAAAATCAACAAATTGATATCCGGAACACATCATTTGGAGGCTTCTTGTAGATTCATATTTCCATTTTGTTTTCATTCATTATGCTAAATTCATCTTTCATATTTCAGGATCTTCCAAACTATGCTCAACATACAGTACCCATCTTTTCATTACCGCAAGAATGGCTGTGGTGCGAGTCATGGTGCGGTAATGCAACAAAATCCAAAGCAAAAACCATTGATCTTTGCAACAACCCCATGACAAAGGAGCCCAAGCTTCAGGTAGATATGTGTTCCTTTGGTTTGTGATTTTTTACTTACTGAGCAGTGAGCACACACCTAGACATTATACCCTTGTACTTTTTCTTGGTTTAGTGTTTGTCCAATAATTTTTCCTAAATTTCACCGAGTGTTGCAGGGGGCTCGAAGAATAGTTTCTGAATGGCCAGATCTTGATTTGGAGGCAAGTCAATTCACGGCGAAGATCTTAGGTGACGAACTGGACATCCAAGAGCCCGCACCACTTCCTAGTCCATCAGAGAAATCAGTGACTGGCAGTCCGGAGGAGGACCTTGAATCCGAGGCAGAGCTGTGAATGCAATATAACAAACGCTATGGTTCAGTTTAAGCAGAGAGAATACTCGAAAGATCTAAGGTAACAAGTACACTTACACATAATTTGACCTCAAAGGCGAAGCCCCTTGCAAACGGTGCTCCTGTGTGCTAAACGAGAGCTTTCGGCTAAGCAGCAAGAAGAGAATGTGATACCTAAAGATGGAGGCCTTGCAGGCATTCTATGTCGTTGCATTAGCTACCGAGACTCATTCGGGCTTATTAATTATGCACCCTCGATGCACTCTTGAGAAGGAAAAAAGAGATTTTGTTGAGCAAATTTTGCTAAAGAAATTTATGTGAACGTTTGAAACTGTGATGGATGACAAGAGAAATGAAATATGTTTACTTTATTTAGAAGGCTTTCGGTTCTTTTTAAGTAGCTTCAAGATGGTATTGGCATTTTTTTGATGCATATGATGAATTATATCCTTACAAACTTACCTAAAGTGATTGGTCGTTTCAAGATTCTCTGGCAAATGCTTGACGACCATAACCATTCGCTGCGCGGCTTGCTCTCTTAAGTCTTAAACTGCTGTTATTTTGGCTGAAATCGGGAAATATCCGACGACGATTTACGTGTGTTCCTCCATCGCAAGCCATTTATGTTTTTAATTTTATTATCTATATAATATAAAAGAGAAGTTAAAAATGGTGAAACTTTCATAATACTCAAATTGACTGAAAACTTTGAGTTTTAAACAAAATAAAGGATAAAGTGAATAGTATCAGGATTGATTTTTTAGTGTAAAAATGTGATTTTTCGTTAAAGTGAACAATACTGGAAACTTTTCGTTAAAGTTTCAATTAAAAAACATGTAAGGTGGGTGGTAAGTGCATCATTTTTGAAAATATATTTAATAAAAAACAATAACATCTAAATTAAATAAAATTAAAACAACAAAAAAAGTCAATAACATCGAAACTGCTACAATAATTTAAGAGTTGAGAGAGTATCAAACCCGTGATAAACATGTGAAAACCCAACACTATATCCACTACAATATTAGACCACATGCAAATTAAATTTTACCGTTTGATCTAATATGAGTTGTGTAAATATTAGGAGTCCTATATTTGATAGAAGTAGGATTTGTATTTATTCTTTCAGATAAGACATATCTGTGTATATATATTGTAACCCTAACGATTGATACGTAGGATTTGAAGTATATATTCAGCCATTCGTTTTCTACTATTATGGCGGGTGATGATGGAGAATTGCCGATCTTCTCCTCCAACGACGACGATATAACCGTCGAGATACATTCATGGCTACCGGTCACATGTCTCCTCCGATTCCGTTGTGTATGCAAGTCATGGCGCGCCTTAATCTCTACTCCCCAGTTCGTCGCCAAGCACCGAGCACGTACCAACGACAACAACAAGAATGTCCTGATTCTCTTAAAACGCCACGATAGTGATCACCATGACTGGCGAGCACTCCCCTCTCAATTTCCCCGACTCATTGACTACCAATCACTGAAGAAGAATGTTGCCGGCGCCTCCTCCGCTTCATCAGCAATACGAAGCAGCCGTAGAGACGTTGAAGATGAATTTCCAGATGAAACTAGCCTCAACGATTCATCACTTGTGGATTCTTGCAATGGTCTCATCTGCCTACTAAACCCTCCACTTGATTCGCACTCAAACATGGAAGATTGTTGGAGGAGACCTCCTCGAGGCTGCGGCCTCGTTACAAGTTCATGGGCGAGAGGGTGCTTCTTAAATGGAGCTCTACATTGGGATGAGAGAGACTATAAGGATAATGAGGGATCAATCGTCTCTTCTTTCACACTTTCTGCCATACTTCCACAAATCTTCCTGACTTTGAGGACGGTGGCCTTACCATGTGGGTGATGATGGAATATGGGGTCGATCAATCTTGGACTGTTTTCGCGAAAATCCGCCCGGAGATTTTCCCTCCTAATGTGTGGTTGTTGAAGCCCATACTCCACGATGATGGTGCAGTTTTGATGCAATCGAGTCAAGGTGACTTGGTATCATATACACCTAAGGAAGATACATTCAGGATTGTGCTCGACAATTCTGATGATGAAGAATTGAGGGCTTCGGCTTCGGATGCAGAAACGGTTATGTACGTAGGCACTAATGTTTCACGGTGGCGGCTAGCTCATACATTTGATTTGAAACATCCCAAATGGTATCGTGAGCCTTGCCCTTCCTTAGATCTTTATTAATGTAACAATGTAATTTCGTACAAATTAAGATAGTGGTTTTATCCAATGTTATTGAGAATTATATTACTGATCTATTACTCCTTTCATGATCATGTACGAGATCAAATTTAGATTTATATTACTTACTCTTGATTTATTCCTCCTTTCATGATCATGTGCGAGAACAAACGGACGTATATAGCCCCATCGATATAATTAAGCAGCATTTCTTTATAATTGACATCAAATGTACATATATATATATATATATATATATATATATAGAGTTTTGGAAGAGAAAGCGATCTGTTAGTGTAGAGGAAAACGAAGATGACAAGATCAATGAATTTGTATTGAAACTGGTAGCATGTTTACATATAGAAATGTGAACTATTAATTTATACGCGACTTATAGTTTGTTTAGTGGTCGTCGAGTTGGTGAATGGGATCAACTAGTCACAACTCGCCAGGTTGTGGGATAGGTTGGAGGGTCTGGGATGAATCTAATGAAGCAATTGGGTTTCCGAGTCTCATATATATGCATTTCCTCCTTTTTAAGTTGCTCTTCTTCTTGCTCTCTAAAAATCTAATGAAGCTCTTGTGATTGAAATTCTGGAACCAAAGATTCAAAATTAGTTTGCGTGGCCCGCTCTGGTTCATAACTACCACGTAGACGTGGCAGCTTGGCCTTCACTCATGCAAATGACACGTGACTCAAGAGGAACTAAAATAATATGTCAAAGAAACATTTAGCGGACGTGCAATTAAGAATATTACATGAATTAATGTAAATATAGTTATGCTTTAGGTGACCTCTTAGTATTACAGTCTAGTGATATTTCTCTTCACTTGTAAGTGAGAGGTCTTATATTCGATTTTTACTAAACACGAATTTGAATTACATTATTGTTGGCTCATTGTGAGGCTAAGCCCACCTCCTCTCCCTTAACATAGATAATATCTTTTACTCAAAGTTATGCATGTAGGTGATCTTGGGGTTATTCTCACCATTTGCCACTGGCTTCTCTCCGACTAGGAGGGTCATGGTTTTAATATTTTAGTTCATGTAAGTTGTCAAAAATGATCCAAATGGAAAAGAGAGATTATATTTACACATCCCAAATTACTTTCCCCATACCTTTTTATTTATTTATTTAATATTTTTTGACACACCACTAACACTTGATGGAAAATATTAAAAAATTAAAAAGGGTGTGGGGGAAGTAATTTGGAGTGTGTGAATATAATCTCTCAATGGAAAATTGAGATTGTAAGGTCCAAATCCAATTCATTAATTTTGCAGAACAAGGTCCAATATTTAAATCTCTATGTACTTTCCAATTACTTCTTAGAGAATTAGGAAATACGACAGAAGTGGCAGCAAGGCCGTCAATGAGCATTAATTACTTGAGTTACAAGTTGTCAAAAAAAAAAACAAAGCAACAAATATTTCCCGCAGCTACAGTTACAAGTTGATAGGTATTTACAATTTACCTTACTATTACTATACAAATGTCAAAATTCACCAAAACTTATGTACCCACGGTCTTGAACTAATAAAAAAGTTAGAGATACTAGATTTTCACCCCAACCCTCGCAAGGTGCGAGAGACTTGTTGGATGGGATCGCCCTTTTAGAGATGTAGGAATCTTCCAAGGACTCAAACCCCATCAAGTGCTTCACGCTTTGTTAAACCTGTTGTGGGCATAGACATCAATTATGCTACTTCAATCGAAAAATACAGTTATCGAATACAAGATAACTATACATATTGCAGCTTGGTTACGAGAGAGAGAGAGAGAGAGAGAGAGAGAGAGAGAGAGAGAGAGAGAGAGAGAGAGAGAGAGAGAGTAATAAAAACGTAAGCGATGTAGGAATCTTCCAAGGACTCAAACCCCATCAAGTTCTTCACTCTCTGTTAAACCTGTTATGGTCATAGACATCAATGATGCTACTTCAATCGAAAAATACAATTATCGAATACAAGATAAATATACGTGTTGCTGCTTGGTTACGGGAGAAAGAACACAACACATAAAAGAAAAGAACCCGTGATAAGATAGAACGGAACAATGCATGAAAATATAGCTTCAATAAAGATTTGATTTCTCATTAGATTCATTTCCACATAAAACTTCCAAATTCATGATGATTTCGAATCCAACTTCTTGAGTCAATCTGTTCTTCTGATCAGCTGGTTCAGTTCAAATAATACTGTTTGATTATACCGTTACCTACATCTTCATTTGCTATTTACAATGTCAAGCCTCAAACCATATATATAGTTTGGTAAACATAATAACACCACAACAAGTTACATCCTTATCAAACACAAAGAAACACGTATGATCCTACACTAGCCGGCTTAATTCCTAACCGCGGATTTTTGAGCTCGTAGTGTAGCCTTTATATTTGTCTATGACTTCTTGTATGTAATATTCACAATATTCTCAACCACAATACCTTGAATGAACTCATGGATTGGAGGGTCTTCCATGAACATGCTTCTCACTCTTTACATCCTTCAAGGCAATGTACAAACTATATATAGAATCGCAAATTTTTTTCTAGATTACCTGAGCATGTCTCGGCTTGGTAATTTTGGGCCGCTCAAAGCTGGTGATATGCTGAACGTGTTACCGTTGCCATTGCCATAACTTGAAGGATGACCAAGGGCAAGGGGCATCGGCCTACCTGGAATTCGTGGCTTCTCTCTTACTTGGAGGCAGAGGGTTCATGGTTTTAATATTTTAGCTCCTATTTTTAAATCACTTTGTACTTTCCGGTCACTTCTTACAGGATTAGGAAACATGAAGGAGTGGTGGCAAGGCCCTCACTGGGCATTAACCACTCGAGCTACAAGTTGCCCACAAAAACGGACAACAAAAAAGCAAATCGAAACAACAAATATTTCCTGCGGCTACAGTTACAAGCTGATAGGTATTTGGGACTCAATTACCCGAGGGAAAAGGTAACGAAATTAACCGATTCCTTCGACAAGGATCGAAATTTGGGACTCAATATCTGAGAATTTACTTTCTTTTTTTTTTTTTTTTTTTTATACGATTTTTTAAGATGACTAAGTTACTCAATCAGGAAATTGAAGAGGATCGATGAGATGTTCTGGAATCAGGGGGCTCTCAAGAGGTGAAAAACAATTTTCCATTTTATATTTGGTCTAATATAAATCATTAAGTTGTGTCTATATATATATATTAGGACTCCTATATTTGGCCGGAGTAGGATTTGTATTCTTCCTTTCCTTGTGAGATATGGCATATCTGTGTGTGTATATATATTGTAACCCTAACGATCAATATGTAGGATTTGAAGTATATTCAGCCATTCGTTTTCTACGATATTATGGCGGGTGATGATGGAGACTTGCCGATCTTCTTCTCCAGCAATGACGATATATTCGTCGAGATACTTTCATGGCTACCGGTCATATCTGTCCTCCGGTTCCGTTGTGTATGCAAGTCATGGCGCGACATAATCTCTACTTCCCAGTTCGTCGCCAAGCACCGAGCACATACCAACGACAACAGCAAGAATGTCCTGATTCTCTTTAAACGCCCCTATCCACTTCCCCATGACTGGCCACCAATCCCCCTTCGATTTCCCCGACTCGCTGACTACCAATCACTGAAGAAGAATGTTGGCGCCACCTCTGCAGCCGCATCATCAGCAATACGAAGCAGCCGTAGAGACCTTGAAGATGAATTTGCATTTGATACTAGTCTCTACAGTTCATCCCTTGTGGGTTCTTCCAATGGCCTCATCTGCCTACTACTTGACTGGCCTCGGCCACCTCGTGACTACTATAGGTGCTACGTAAACACAAGACTTCTGTTGTGGAACCCTAGTACCAGAACAGCCCGTAAGTTACCAGACATTGATTGGTTTCGTTACAACCCGTTTTATTATGGATTCGGCTATGATTCCATCACTCAAGACTACAAGGTCCTTTTGGGCGGTCAAGATCCTAACGGTTGTGAATTGGTTGCAATCTTCGCACTCAAAACGGGTTCATGGAAGAGTGTTGAAGATCCCCTCGGCCTCGAGGCTGCCTCGTTAGATATTCATGATCGAGGGTGCTTCTTAAATGGAGCTCTACATTGGCATGAGTATTATTGTTATGAAGATGAGGATTGGAATGAAGATGAAACAGGTTATATGAGAACAAGAATCGTATCCTTTGATTTCGCACAGGAGAAATTTCATTCGTTTTCCTTTATTAAGCATAAAGGACATATGGGGATGGCGGGGGGAGTGGGGACTATTGGAAATCGTCTCTTCTTTTACACTTCCTGCTATACTTCCACAAATCGTCCTGACTTGGAGGAGGCTGGCCTTACCATATGGGTGATGAGGGAATATGGGGTCGATCAATCTTGGACTATTGTTGCGAAAATCCGACCGGAGATTTTCCCTCCAAACGTGAAGTGGTTGAATCCTATATTTCATATGGAAGACGATGGTGCAGTTTTGATGCAATCGAGTCAAGGTGACTTGGTACTATATACGCGTAAGGAAGAGAGAGAGAAAGAGGACACATGCAGGATTGTGCTCAAGATTTCTGATGTTGGAGAATTGCCGGCTAGGTACGAAGAGACGGTTATGTACGGGGACACCTTGGTTTCACCGGTGATTGGCGGCGGCTAGATGATATATTTGATTTGAAACATAACAACTGGAACTGGTAGCCTGAGTCTTGCATTTCCTATGCGCTTTTTATTAATGTAACGTAAATGTCATAAAAATTAAGATAGTGGGTATTATCCAGTATTATTTAGAATTATATTAGTTGTTCTTGATCTATTCCTTCTTTTATGATTATGTACATTTGTGTGCGGCCTGATCGATATAAATCCAAGCTGCATTTCTTTATAAATGAGACCAAACATACATGCATATCCTTATGGAAGAGGAGACAACGTCAATAAATTTGTATATCAAAATTTTTTTTTTTTAAATTGTAAAGAAATTCAACTGAAAAAAAATTGTAAAGAAATTTCGGTTCAAATTGAATTCTGAATCATAATCATTAAAGATTTTATAGTTAATTGGTAAAATCAAGTAGTTTAGTATTGGATCAGGATCCTCTCCTGATCCTTGTATGGGGATCCTCTTGACCAAGAAGTGTGGACCGTTGGATTTTCATCCAACGGTTACAAACAGGGGGCCCCTTTAAAGTTATAATAATTATAGCCGTTGGATTTTCATCCAACAGTCCACACTCCTTGATCATGAGGATCTCCATACAAGGATCAGGAGAGGATCCTGATCCTTTAGTATTAAAGTTTTTTGGTACACGTGGCATGTGAATTGTAAAACAATGTTGAATAAAAAATCTATAGACTATAGATATGTTCAGTCTAACAGATAGGAGTTTGAGGCACCTAAATTGAAAGCTCCCTTTTATTGGTAAGTAGTTAGATTAAAACTAAAAATAAAGGATAGTGATATTTGCATACCGATTTTTACCTTACACACTTTTATTAATTTTTTGCCATTGTTATTTTTGAATTTATTCGATCCGACAGTCGAGAATTGAGGGGTGTGTGATAGTGTGAGAAGTAAAAATGAGTGATATTTAGGACTATTTTCACCATTTACCTTTTGGCCACTGACTTTATAAATCTCTTAATTTTCCATCATAATACTCATGGCTTCTCGCTAAGAGGCAGAGGGTTCGTGGTTTTAATATAAGAAAATTGTCAAAAACGATCCAAATGGAAAATTGAGATTGTAAAGTCCAAATTCAATTCATTAATTTTGCAGAACAATGTCCAATTTTAAAATTACTCTGTACCTTTTAGTCACTTCTTACAGAATTAAGAAATATGATGAGAGTGGCGGCAAAGCCGTCATTGGACATTGACCTCTCGAGTTACAAGTTGCCCACAAAAACGTACTACAAGCAAAAAAACTAAAACAAATAATATTTCCTGCGGCTATAGTTACAAGCTGATAGGTATTTACCATTTCCTTTACTGTTACTATACAAGTGTGAATCAAAATTTCACCAAAACCTATGTACGTACGATCTTGAAACTAATCAAAACGTAAGATATGTAGGAATCTTCCAAGGACTCAAACCCCATCAAGTGCTTCACTCTCTGTTAAACCTGTTGTGGGCAAAAACATCATTGATGCTACTTCAATCGCAAAATACAGTTATCGAATACAAGATAAATATAATTGCAGCTTGGTTACAACTTACGAGAGAGAGAGAGAGAGAACGAAACACATAAAAGAAACGAACCCGTGATAAGATAGAACGGAACAATGCATGAAAGTATAGCTTCAACAAAGATTTGAATTCTCATTAGATTCATTTCCACATAAAACTTCCAAATTCATGATGATTTCGAATCCAACTTCTCGAGTCAATCTGTTCTTCCAGTGTAGCTGGTTCAATTCAAATAATACCGTTTGCTTATACCGTTGTCTACGTCTTCATTTGCGCTATTTACAATGTCAAGCCTCAAACCATATAGTTTGGTAAACATAATAAGTCCACAAGAAGTTACACCTTTATCAAACAGAAAGAAACACGTATGATCCTACACTAGCCGGCTTAATTCCTAACTCGGATTTTTGAGCTCCTAGTATAGCTTTAAATTTGTCTATGACTTGAATGAACTCATGGATTGGAGGGTCTTCCATGAACATGCTTCTCACTCTTTAGTGTTGGAAATTATATATTATAATTAATATTATAATTTTTAATTTTTGTATGAATGAAAAATAAGAGTCATGTGTCATAGTTGAATTCAAATTCATGAGTTGTATTTGTTTGTTGGAACTTTAGGCAACAGTCATAATGTTTCAAAAATGGTGACTTGAGTTCTATATGAACTCAAGCATCCCACCTGTCTAAAAAAATTAAGAAAAGAGTTTTCTCCAATGTCTTAGTAAAAATTTGAATCGTGTCTTGAGAGTACATAATATATGAAGTTCGCCAGAGTCCAAAGATTGAAATGCTTTGAATTTGGATTATAGATTGTTGAATCCTGGGAGACGGACGCCTACCGGACTACAAGAACAGGAGTAGGGGCGAAATTCTGTCTTTAGGACGTTGCATTTATAAAGCCTCAATCTCCAAGTTTGTCAGTTTTTCTAACTTTCTCTCTAGTTGTTTATATTAATCTCATACATAAATTGATGTTGTGAATTTCTTTATGATTATTATTAATGGAATTCTTGTGTTATTTTCATATTTTCTAATATTGCTTCAACAATCTAAAGACAGAAACTTTTTCTCTTGCATTGTTAGAGAATATGAGTCTGAGTAATAGAAGTTAAAATCAATAACATTGAATGTAGCCCTAAACGCTAAAAAGAAGAAACTATAATCTTTCTTTGAAAGAATTGTGGGGCTGAGTTTTATATGCATATTGATGTATATTAGTAGAATAATGTTTGTAAGTTGCCATACTAGTGTTAGTTGCATCATATGTTTTTGAACTTCTTATTTATATACACTGGAAGATGTCTTTCGCTTTTCATGGTAGTTATTTATGTGTTTTCATTGTTTGCATATGTATTTTATGGCCTACATGAGTATATGTATATCTCCTAGTCCTAGCTATTGTCAATAAAATGAATCTGCCATGCATGTGAGATTTTCCGGTAACTTCCCGCCCGAACTAGGCTTCGGCCCAGGTATGAAAAATGTTCCCCTCCTTGAGTTGTACATTTCTACAAAATTTGGTGAATTTTAGTGTTGGTAGGAATTTGGGGTTTCCGTTCGCCGAAAACCGCCTTCCACGACGGTGCGTGCGGTGGCCAGTGAGCCGACGCTGCCTTTTTAAGTTAAATTCGATGTCCTGATTTCAAATTTGATAACCGTTTGATATAGTTCGATAGTTTGAACCTAGCGTGGAAGCCAAATGTTGATAGCAACCTAATTCTAGCAATTGGCAGAGATCCGATTGTTGGATCATTCCAAAATTTTAGAATATTGTTCTATAAGATAAATGAGACCCTTGGGAAGTTACAAATCAGAAATCCATGGGCGGATGTTCCAGATTGACTTGTAAGGGTTGTGGACCTTACCTTGGACAGAGACCTGACTTTTGGTCAATATGCTACAAATTGATCTTAAATATTAAAATCAGTATTACTAGAGACTGTAGGGCTTAGTAGGCCTATATTGGTTAGTGAGTTATCCCATATAATAAATACATCGGTTTACGTGTATGGGACATCATGTTATGATATATATGTGTTTATTTATCTTCTTAATAATATGAATGATAAGTAGGATAAATGTTATGACAATGTGATCCTAGAATCCTATTAGAAGTATTATGTAGAACTTATATGCTTGCGTGACATATTAGTTGGTGGCCAAGAGAAGTTGATGGTGTAGGTGACTACATTGTAACTCATAGGGTTGAGGTATGGGTAGGTTGTGTGTTGAATTTACTGCACCATGTAGCAGCGGTACATGGATGGTCCTGCTTGGTATATCCGCGATGGGGGACCATACGCATACTAGGGATGAAGATGATTAGTTGTACTTGGTACATTTCGATATATAGGCGATCATATTTTGGTTGGATTCCATTGAGTGGTCTGGAATTTTTGCTCACTTCCATAAAGTTAGTTCGACCCTAGATTAGAGTGAGTAGGAATTGCTCACAGTAAACATTATGTTTATAAATTAGAATCATCATGTTATTACTTGGAATCCAGGTAGGGAATTATGTAGAATTCCTTTATTAAATTTCGTGTATTGAAATGCATCTTACTGATTGATTAATGTAGTTAAATGTTATTATAATGCATCTTTTATTCATAGGACTGATTAATTGGAGTGATTGTGGAATGATGTTGGATGTGATTGTTATTATTATGATTAGACTGTGGAAAAGCATAATGATACTTTACATTATTATGATTCTCTACCAATGCAGTTAGAGAATAATATTGTGTTTCGTTGACTGTTTCTTGAGATGTGTTGTATATTATGAATTGCGGTATTATGTAAAGTATAGTGATTTATATGATGGATAAACTGGAAATCTTGATTGTCATGTGGGTTTGTTATGTAGCCCTAAATCTAGTAAGTTCAGGCTTATTAAGTTCTAATAATTGATTGATGAATGTTATGCTTTTCCGCTTGAACGTACTGTGATAAACGTCGGAGTGTAGTGAATGGTGAACTACGAATGACTTAATTCCTATTTAGGGTACGTAGGCAATCTATCGAGGAGGTTAGATGCAGCCATAAAGTATACGAAAATTACTAAGCAATTTGAATCTTGATTTATGCTTTGTACATATCCCGGAGGCAGGGTCTGTTGGATATATGGATACTTGGTGACGTCACATGTCAATCCTGGACATATGTCAAGGTCAGGGCGTGATAAAGTACATAAGTGGAAATACATGCAGTCACATAAGGAAATCAATCCTCAATTATAGGTGTACTGGATAATCTGGATATGAAGCATATTGACTTCATATGTTGTGATGGTTTGTCGAATAGGACTTAGTAATTAAGTCCTAATATAATTTTGAGGACTTGACATTTCAAACAATGTCAAACAACTACTATGAAATATAATTTCATAAGATGGATTATGCACACCATTAATGATAGTCAACGTAGTGGTGGATCCAATTATTAAAGGTTAGACTAGAGAGTAAGTTGATCATCGAGGGGAATGAGGCTAAAGCCAACATAACTAATGAATCAGTCAGGCAGAAACCTAACTTAGTTGATTGGAGATCCCATGGTCTAAGTTCAATAGGCAAATTGGTTGGGCATAATTCAAAGAAGTTAACACATTATATACCTCATTCCTATAGTGGAAGAAGTGTGTTGTTTGCAGAAATTTTAGGATGTATATTTATACATAATGACACTAATATCTTATAAACAAGAGGTATGTTGCAGAGTATTCTTAATCAGTGGTCACTTATGTGAGAGTAGAAGTGAGTCACTTCTATGAGTATGAGATGGTTAAATTCTCTAAAGCTCTCATGAATCTGAGATTTGTTCAAGACCAAAATGAACACAACCGTTTGAACCAAAATATATTAGGATTAGTGATGTGTGTTGCTTATTGTCTCGATTTATTGTTGCGGTGAACAGTTCAAGATTCCATATCCACTGCATCACCAAGTAAATCCGATAAGTATTTACTAGGGTAGGTTCAAATCCAAAAGACACATCTCCCAATGCATCTCTTGTTCGCCTGTACTCTCAAATTCTTCCTAATTTTTCAATCATGTGAGGGATTGTTGGAAATTATATATTATAATATTTAATTTTTGTATGAATGAAAAGTAAAAGTCATGTGTCATAGTTGAATTCAAATTCATGAGTTGTATCTGTTCGTTGGAACTTTAGGCAACAGTCATGATGTTTCAAAAATGGTGGCTTGAGTTCTATATAAACTCAAGCATCCCACCTGTCTAAAAAAAATTAAGAGAAGAGTTTTCTCCAATGTCTTAGTAAAAATCTAAGTCGCTGTCTTGAGAGTATGGAATATATGAAGTTCACCAAAGTCCGAAGATTGAAGTGCATTAACTTCGGATTATAAATTGTTGAATCCTGAGAGACGGACGCCTACCGAACTACAAGCACAAGAGTAGGGACGAAATTCTATCTTTAGGACATTGCATTTATGCAGGCCTCAATCTCCAAGTTTGTTAGTTTTTCTAACTTTCTCTCTAGTTGTTTATATTAATCCCATACATAAATTGATGTTGTGAAATTCTTTATGATTATTATTAATAGAAATCTTGTGTTATTTTCATATTTTCTAATATTGCTACAACACTTACATCCTTCAAGCCAATGTACAAACTATAGAATCGCAAATTTTTAGATTACCTGAGCATGTCTCCGCTTTGTAATTTTGGGCTGCTCAAAGCTGGTGATATGCTGAACGTGCTACTGTTGCCATTGCCATAACTTGAAGGATGACCAAAGGGCATCGGCCTATCTGGAATCCGTGGCACCTCAATATCTCCCTCCAACATTTTCAGGGCATCCAAAATGGTAGGCCGTAAAGCCACCATTATATGAGCACACAAAATGCCGACCAGCAAATATCTCTCCATTATGCTCTTTGGATTCGAATTCGCGTTGTCCCCATCTTTCACCAATGAAAAGTCTAAAGCCTGCTCGGCTTTTCCAGATTTCACCAATGACCAAGCCCAATCTGTGACCAAAAAAGCACGAGGGGATCCCAAAGACAAATCAAGAGCTTTCCTCCCACACATGATCTCCAAAATAACCACTCCAAAACTATAAACATCGCTCTTCTCAGTCAGCTGTCCATAAAGAGCGTATTCGGGGGCTAAGTACCCGTGAGTCCCTGCCACTCTAGTAGTGAGATGGGACTGGCCTTCCATGCTCTGTTTTGCAAGCCCAAAGTCCGCCACCCTCGCTTTCATATCTGCATCTAGTAGTATGTTTGTCGCCTTAATATCTCTGTGATATATTGCAGGCTTCACTCCATAGTGCAGATAAGCTAAACCCTTGGCCACATCCAATATTATGCTCTTTCTTTGAGGCCAAGTCAAGGGTCTCCTTTCAGTTCCGCTCGGATTACTTGGCTGAGAAGTAAAGAGATGGTCATCTAGATTCCCATTCGGCATGTAATCGTAGACAAGGTACCTGTGACTTCCTTGCTCCTCATAATTGTCTTCCCCCTCGACAACACAACACCCTCTAAGCGGGACAAGATTTCGGTGCTTCAAATTGCTAATAATCTCAACCTCATTGCAAAACTCAGCATCCCCTTGCATATCAGAATCTATAACTTTCTTAACAGCAACCGTAGTCCCATCCTGCAACACACCCTTGTAAACAACAGCAAACCCACCTCGACCGATAAAATTCTTCTGCGAAAAGTTATTAGTTGCCTTCTCAAGGTCCTGAATTTTAAACCAAATTGAACCAGTGTTTGGTCTCACTCTACTCCTAGAATCTAGTTCTTCCAAGTCGAAACCGGATTCCATCCCTTTGTTCTTCCACCTCCTATCGTACCAAAAGTACAATCCCAACAAACTACACATAACAAACACCGCAACTCCACCGCCAGTGAGGCCGAAAACAAGAGCGGTATTGCTCTTTTTCGACGAAGCATTCGAATCAAACGACAACCCAAATATACAGCTCACAGCACCATTACTCTCAGGGCCAAACTCGTTGACAATACCAGCAGCATAAAGAATAGTAAAGTACCAACAGTCCCGAGTGTGAGAAGAGTTACCATCAACGCCAAGCAGCATCTTCTGTGTGGCAAAGCCGGCGTCGACGCAGGCCCTGCAGGAGGATTGATCGGTGAGGTCAGGGCGGCAGGCGGAGTCGAGGACGGTGGAGTTGCCGAGCTTGGAGACCCAATCACTGGTGGACTCAATGTTGGCGCAGATGTTGGGGGTGATGACAAACTGGAGAGGGTCCCAGCAGTAGTTGACAAGATTGGGAGGGAGGGAGAGGGAGGAGAGCTTGGACTGGTAGTTTTGGAGGCAGGAAATGGAGGTGGGGAGGTTGGGGAGGTTGAAGAGGGAGGTTTCTTTTAGGCGTTGGGCGAGGGAGATTCCATAGACGGACAAAAGGGTTTGGCAGCAGGTGGTATTGGCGGGGTCCTCTGACTCCATTTGTGGGGTTTTGGGAGGAGGTTGGAAGTTTTTGCAGGTGGAGGAGTTGAAGGGGATTCTTAGGACATAGCTCAGATCCAAGGGACATGTTGCCGTTGTTGTTACGTTGGTTGTGGGAGGAGCTGGTGTTTCTGCTGCGGTTGATGGAGATAAGGTAGAGAGAGAAAGTAGAGAGAGAAACAACCAAAACCCAAATGCAAGTTTCATCATCTCTTCTCAATGTCTGCTCTAAATTTCTAAACTTTCTAATTAATTCCTAAACTTCAGGTTGTGGGCTGTGATTGTTTTGGAAAAGATAAGTTGCTGTGTATATACTTCTAGAGAGAGAGAAAACTTTCTAGAGAGAGAGAGAGACAGGAAGTGACTTGCTTAGATGGGATTCGGTTTGATGAGTCAAACCTCCTCTGCTTAATTTCTTGCTTAGATGGGATTTGGTTTGATGAGTCAAACCTCCTCTGCTTATTTTCTGCTGGCTGCTGGGTTTGGTTGGCGTCAGTGTCACGGTAACGTGACTGTCAAAAGGCGCGTGACCAATACAAAATGAGATTAGACTTAAATTTATGTTAGATTTGGTAATAATTACTAATTATTTAATTGAAACACTGTTGCGGCGGCGGTATCACTAGATTTTTTTTTGTTTTACGTAGCCTTGTTTTTGTTTGCCGCCTCCTCTGTTTTATGTCACTTTCCAATGTACCAGGAGGATCCTGCCGAATCCGAGGATCATGGATTCTCCAATTATTTTTGTTTATCGTATTTTGTGTAATTAGAAATCATTGTAAATTTTTTAATTTAAGATTGAATATAAACAATACTTGACAAAAACTAGTTGGATGATATACCATGAATAAATATGATTGTAGGATCCTGGAATCCTCACAAAGAGGATCCAACAAGAATCCGCTCTCTCCAATGCATATATTATTTTATTTTTTTAATTCAAGTATTCTAATTATTTATTTATTTTTAAATATAAACAGATATTTATTTATATGATATAAAACAATTAGATCTCTGCCTAGTACCCTAGGCACTAGGCTCTAATTTGCCACCGAATTAGCGCTTAATGTCTTTTGAAACCTTAGTTCATAGACCTATGAAAGTTTATATATTACACATGATAAAGGATATACTAATAGATAATTGGTCTCTAAACTTTAGAGAGGGTAGGGTGATGAAAGCACATAAAACAGTTAGGTTTACTCGGAAACAACCTAAAAATAGATACATTTTAGTGTAAAATTAAATAATTAAAAACGACATGACTTCATGCATGTCACAATAACAAACACACTTTCCCCGCATCTCACCCAAAAAACAACACTAATATTTTGCCTCACAAAAGCTCCTAAGGAAACGCTTCTTCATCTTTGAATCCCCAGCCATCCTCTTCCGGTATCGATCGATCGACATCCCTCCTCCGCCCTCCTCCTCCTTCTCTCCTCCCCCTTCCCTTTATGGGGGATCGTCCACGTTCAGCGTCGACGTCCGATCTCTACAACATGCTCGGAATATCGAATATTTGCAAAGGATACAAATCCTTTGTTATGAAATTGGCCCCCAACAATAAGAATGGAGAATCCAAGTTTACAGACAATCATGAAATCACCAAGGTAACATATGCTCTCATCAAAACCATAATCCCTAATCATTAATCATGCAACTAACACGTGATTTATCGATGCGTAATTACGTTTTGTTAAATTTAATAACATGTTTTCCGTGATTTATATATCAAAATTTACATGTATCATGATCTTGGAAATTTTTCTAGCTTGTTCCTGATGTAATTTTATGCTTGATCTGCATAACGATTGAAAACGAGGAGCAGGAGGACGAAAATTTTACGATTAGTTATCCCACGACACCGGTAGGCAGTTTCGAACGAAGTGTTGATGATAACTTCCTCTCCCGCCGAAGTCTTTCAAGAACAACGAGTAGAAGATCTAAGACACCTACACCGATGAGCTTCTCAAGATGTGCAAGCCGGAGCACCTCTCCGACATCCTCGTCATTATCGAGAATTATGAGTCGACGAAATGCCTCTGAGACCGAAATCTCTGCCTCTATTTCGAGAAATAGGGGTCGAAGGAGCACTTCAGAGATTGACATTCCTTCCCTTACATCAAGAAATATGAGCCGGGGGCACCCATCTGAGACAGAAATACCTTTACCATCACCCACCGCCACTTCAGCACCCGCCACTCCATCACCGGTCTCTCCATCACCAACCTCTCAATCATCAAACGCCAGTAAATCAGGCACGTCAGATCAACCGGAGTCTTTATCAAGAAGCGTGAGCAGGAGGAGCACAACCCCCATTGTGTTCTCTCGAACAACTGCAAGAAAGAAACCTCTTCCGATCGAGAAGAAGCTGGCATTCACACTTGAAGAGTTGTGTCACGGATGTGTAAAAAAGATCAAGATCACAAGAGATGTAATCAACAATGCCGGGTTTGTTACTAACGTTGCTGGCAAACTCTTACATAATTAAGCAGTCTGTGTATATATATGTATATAATGATGTGTGTGATGATATATCTACAGAATTATTGTCCAAGAAGAGGAAACACTGAAAATAAACGTGCAGCCTGGATGGAGGAAAGGAACGAAGATTACATTTGAAGCGAAAGGCGATGAGAAACCAGGGTACCTCCCAGCCGACATAGTTTTCTTGATAGATGAAAAGAGGCACAATCTGTTTAAAAGATCAGGCCGTGACGATTTGGAAATCGCTGTTGAGATCCCTCTGGCAGATGCACTGGGAGGCTGCTCATTTCCAGTTCCTCTGCTAGGAGGAGACAAAATGAGACTTTCATTAGACGACATAGTAAATCATGGCTATGAAAAAGTCATTCCAGGACAAGGAATGCCAAAGCTTAAAGAGCCAACAAAGAGAGGCGACCTCCGGATCACATGTCTCGTAAATTTTCCAACACAGTTGAGTGACGAGAACCTAGCAGAAGCAGTTCAAATTCTACAAGATTGTTCTTATGATTAACAGTTCAAATATCTCTCCATCACTTCTGACTTACGAGCAGAGGAACCAATCAGCATTGGGATGAAAAGAAAAATACTTACACTAGTATCTAGCCATGTACAAAGCTCTACGGTGGAACTATGAATATACATATAAATTCCACTGAGAATTTTGCAACAGATAGTGTGTAATGTATTTGTGTCAAACTTAGCAATCTTTCTAATCCTTTGCTTATGTTTTCCAATATGCGGTTAAGCTTGCAACTAATTATCTTTCATAGAGAAATTCTACACGCTAAATCCTAAACTCCACATGCTTTACCCTAATCTTCCAACTAAATTCAAATGTTATATGCATATACGCACAATTAGTACATCAATATGTATATGGCAAGGTAACATAATTCAAATCAGCATTTAACATATAGTTAGATACAGATTAAGAATACTATATATAAATAACTGGCGTGTTTGATGGCCATGAAGAGCGAAAACTTCAAATTTGTATGAATCTGGCACAAAAGATGAAGTAAATGTGTTCAAAACGAAAACAACCTAGATTAGAGTGTCACTGCACTGAAAATCTTGGACACTAGCCAATCAACGGTAAACGTAACCAACCATTTGCACAAAATACCACAAATTAAACTTAATGCTATTTATTCCCTTTGGATGGAGAGCGTCAAAAGGATTGTCATTTTCCCTATTACTTATCACATTGTGTTTTGTTTTGGTAAACAACCACAAAACTCAAGCACAAATAAAAATTGGGTTTCAAATTTGTAATGTAGGGTTTATTGCACCTCAAGAGCTTGCGCTTTTTGATGGTGGGCGTTGCCCAGCAAGAAAAGGTAGTTCTACCACTGTTCCAGTAATGGCATCTCCAACAATTACGGTGTCTCCCTCCGAAACAGATTGTCTCTTGATATAACCTAAACCAATATATCCAGATTCCTTTTTTCCAGATGTGCAACTTGTCAGCTTTCCAACCTGTGAAAATTTCAAAAGCTGTTATGATGCAACCATGAAACTTGTGTTTCATTTTCTGCCCGCAACCAGTGACACGAAGCTTCTATTTCCCAATGTTTTAACAATACATTAAGAGTTAAACAACTACTACCTTTTTCCCTCCAACTGTAAGAATGCTGCCAACCTCTGCCGGCGCTGCTAGACGAATCCCCCAAAGTCGTTGCTTGACTCCATCATATGTTATGAGTCTAGCTATAGTCTCTTGTCCTTTGTAGCACCCTGCAAAAAGATAGAATTAGACCAGCTATTTTTTCATTTTTCTGTAAGATGTATACCAGTAAAGAGTATGATACCTTTGTTTAAAGAGATTGAATTCCAGAGACCAGCCTCCAAGACATTATATTCATTGGTAAGCTCCTTCTGAGGTGCTGGCCTTCCTGCAAAAGTTAGCAGGCGCCAATGATCATGTGGGAAATCACAGAAAACTGAACTATAAAAGATTATACTCACTACTATTATCAAGAAACCTTTGATTACATACTTCTACATCTAATCAGCACATTCCATAACAATTACTTTATTTGTTATTAAACATGAGGAATAAAATAAGAAATTTTCTTTTCCATGTTAACACCAAAAGCATGTTTTAGTCCACTGTGACACTGTATACAAAATTACTGATGTGAAGTCAGCGAATTTCAAATTACAGTTGTTTCAAACAGCAACAAGAAAATGAAAAATGTTCTGCCACTGAAATTTAAATATTAGGTGACTTTGTACACACTAACTTGTCAAAGTTAATCAAATTGGTAACTAAGAATTCAAAATATATAATAATCAACATATGATAATCAGTATATATATTGACTAAATTAGTGGACATGGTGAGGAAGAACTTTTTCCATTTGGTTGAGATGTGACCAATTTTTACATGAATTGGTGAAGTGGGTCCAACTCTGATGACATTTAATTTGTTGACTTTTTAAACTAATGTTGTGAAAGTGGAGAGTTGCATTACTTTGAACTTTGAAGTTACCGCTTAGTGGCGAGGAAGATGTTCTTCCTCACTAGTACTTTGTAGCCAAGCATTTTTCATGTAAAAAGGGTTAAAAGTACCAACATCTAAATCAAGAATTCTCTACCTTGGAAAATTCTTAGTTTTTCCCATGCATTAGAGCCCATCGGGATAGCACCCTGTGACAGAATAGTTTTCCATACTGATTCAGCGGTAGCTGGTGACATCAAAAATGAAAAACCTTCTTCAGAAATGACATTTCCCACTCCCACAGTTATAGGCATCCCGTCACCCTGCAAAGTAATCGGATGTCTTAATAAGCTCTCTTGAAAAGAATAAATTGACTTTCAACTCTCATGTTGTTCCAAAAAAATGATGAAATCAGAACTAACGCTTACACTAAAATGCTGATGTGTGCCATATGGTTGTTCAACAAGGTCACCTAGGTTTAACTCCTTCATCAGCTGTTCTCGTTGAAAAGAAAACCAATAACATCATTAAGCTTCAGGATACTAAAAAGCAATGTCAAAGGCCAAAATAAAATTGCCACATAGAAGAAGAGTTAAGAGACCTTACTTGGTTGCTTTTAGGTCCTACCAAAACAAAGAAGCAAGTTTGCTTAGTGATGTCTTGAATCTCTACCTTGTCATTAAAGAATATGTACCTATTGATAACAAAGAACAGTGATGACATTTATTACATGGGACTTGTTCAAAATAAAATGTATATCAACTGAAAATCTTCCTGATCATCCCTAACTTGTACCAGCATAGAAAATTGTCCATCCCCCTATCTCCAAATGATCTGGTATCTATGAAAGATATATTTTAACTGAAAATTTTCAAGCCAAGTGTAATTGGAGCATCTTTAAGAGTGTAAAAGCTAATGTGAGTTCTACTGAAAACTTTCTTTTTAAAGTTCTCTTCTTTTGAAAAATTGTAGTTACATTAGTAACTTCGTAGTGATGTGGTATGCAACAAGACACCGTCTTTAAAATTTCCAAAAACAACAATAGCAAGCAACTTAAAAGAAGACGCACATACTTTTGCAGCATTTCAGAGATACTTCTGGAAGTCACAGGTGAAACGACTAACAGTACTGCATTTTTCTGGGAGCACAAAAAATCATATATAAATAACAGCCTTGATGACAAAAATATGAAGATTAATTAAAATTCGGGGAAACCAAACGATTAAAAAAATAAAAAAAAGATTACCATGATCCATGCATGTGCAATATCTATTGTCCGGGCTGTTGGTGTAACAAAAACAGTGTCGCATCCCTATGGATTTCAAGCAGAAATCCTATTACTCAAGCCTGTATACTGTATAAATACAAAAGTTGCATCAAACAGAAACTTGCGTTCACTGCACAAATGCAACCAACTTCTGATTACATCCCACCAAATATTACCTGTCCTTGATGAAGGCTTTCAACATTGGCAGTGGTTTGGTTGTGAAGAAACTGGATACGGTCCTCTCCACTAACTTCATGATGAACAGCCAAATTCATATCACAAGGGAAAAACACAGTACAGCATCCGTCAACACCAAATACTACCGGCTTGACATATATTTGGTTGGATCACCTCATCAAAGTTAAAAATAAATACATAACAAGTTTAAGTCTCTGACATTTAGCAAAAGACTATGACCTGAATACCAAGGATGACCAGGTGAAAACATAATAACCAAAGACAGCACCTAGAATACTAATGTGCTAGAAAAGACCTGCATCACTGACACTTTAGTAGTGTTTCTTGTATATGCATTGCTCACAAGGATAAACCAAAATGAATAAACGGAGGCTCGACTCAACTTAACTTAGCTACACAAGGAGCTTGACTTAGTATCTGGCACGCTGCATGGGCATCTGGTCAAGCAACCTATTGCCTTAGAGCAAGGACCAAGCTATTTCAACAGCTCTACACGAGAGAAACATGTTTGCCTAGAAGGACCAAGCTACTCCAAAATAAAATGTTAGTACCTATCGGATAAAGATAAACTGGCTTACTTTGGGCATCGGTTCCTTATGCTTTATGTGAGTGTCCTTTCTTCTAAATTTCAACATAAACAATTTTTTTAATTTTTTCTGACTGGATTGCCTGGTTCTTGGTCACGTTTGTTTGGATAGCTGCAGTTATGACCGTCCTTTTTACTGATTTGCATGAAGTACTCTGAGGGTTCTCTATTTTGGACTATGGTCTTGTTCAACTGTAACTCTCAGTTTTCTAATAATATAATCACTTATGTGATTAAAACGTATTCATTGTGACATCTTGTGATTGTCATTTATCCAATTGGGAAACCTAAGGCCAACCAATTGCTTGGTGACAAAGTAGGGAAGCAAATGTAATGCAATCTCCAATTCCTTGTGAAAAGTGGCCTTATTAGGAAACAGAATCTCATGCCTCAAGAAAAACACAAACAGGTAATTTTCCAATTCAGTTAATATATTTGAGGAAAGTAATAGGAAAGATACCTCTTATCCGTCCAAAATGTGAGAGGTCCACGACCTGAGGCAATATATGCAATTAAGAAAATCAGAATAAAAGTTTCATAAAATTAAGCGATACGCCTAAACCTCGTTTAAACTTAGCATTGATGCTCTAATAAGTACAGACATAAAAAACTCTTCTTCAATTTTGTGAAGAAACTAGCGTACAGTACCTAAAGAAAACTACACACAGGTAAGAACCAATCTTATGTCATCTAGTCTCACTGATTTAAGTCATCCAGTTCAAATTCGCAGCTGTTTACATGGCAAGCCTATGTTGATATACAAGTACACATTTTATTGATATACATGCACATCCGAAAATGCTGCCTTAAAATCAGATATTTACCAGCTTGAATTGCATTTTGATCCAAAGTTAGACATAATATCGAGCGGAGAATCGGGAAAGGACAGCGTACTAAATGAGAAAAGCACGTCAAAAATACAGCGTAATGCAGAAGCTTTTCTTAAGGAATGTAACAAAGAACTCAAACACCATGCCTTTTTCTTTTCTGTCATAGGAAAATTCAGCAGACAGTAAATTGAGAACATCAATCTTGTGAACAAGCCCGCATTCGGAAACAAAAGTTCTCAGGACAAATTCAGATTGTCGAAAACTCACTAAACCATCCATAATTAACCTTATAAATCTTGCAATTCAACATCTTTATCAATTACCAAGTTCTCAAGCATGCAAAAACACAAATATCCAACTCAAAAACTGTGCAAGAACTGAAAAATAGTGCGAAAAACACTCACCGCGACACCATTGTCAGCCGCATCCAATGCTTGGTCATCGTTATCGAAAGTTTCGATAATCCCATCATCAGAAACCTTTGCTCCTGCAGTTGCCACAGTGTCCTGCAATTTCCAACATTTTTCTTCTTACCTAAGTTCTTGTTCCAAACTCCCCCAACACAAACGTAGAAATCCTACCTAGGACTAGGAGGAGGAGGGGGAGCGACTTACGATGAGGTCGTGGTCGATGGGAGGAGGGGAGAGGTCGAAGGGCAAGGCGGAAGAAACGACGCGGCTCCTGGTCGTTTTGGAAGAGAGTGCGAGCTTCTGCTTCTGCTTCTGGTTGTGTTGATTGTTCTTGGCCTGAGTAGTGAGAAACGTGCCGTTCTGGTGGAGATAGGAGAAGGAACGCCATGGCCGTGGATTGAGAAGCAGAGAATCACCTGCTGCTGCTACTGGTGTTGCCATTTTTCTTGGATTGGATTCTTTGGATTGTGGAGGACCCTCCCTCAGACAATGCTAGCTGCCATTTTAACTTCAAAGTCACCCCCTTTTTATTTTTATTTTTTTTATTTTTTTATTTTTAAGAAACTAATAAAAATAATTTGAAAAGTTTGAGTTTTAATGAAAATGATAAAATAAAAGGTAAAATAAATAGTACTATGATTGAGTTTTTAAGGTAAAAATATGATTTTTCATTAAGATAAATAATGCTGAAAACTTTTCTTTAAAATGTTTTTTTTTATATTTTGGCGAGACTCAGTAACCTTTTTTTTTTCGCGACAAAAATAAAGCTCGATTTTACTCAAAAGTATATTTGACCCAAACCAAATTCAACGTATAAGTAGTTGGTCCGGTTTTGTTTTATTCAACGTTTAAGTAGTCAGTCCGATTCGGTTTAGCTCAATTTATAAAAGCCCAAATGGTAATCAAACTGAATTTATTGAGGTTTAGTCCAATTTTAGGCTGTTTAACTTCTTTTTTTTTTCTTTTTTTGTCAAAACCAAAGCATATCGGCTATTATAGTTTGGATCGGCCAATTTGGTCAGTTCTATTAGATTACTGCAATGACAGGAGAATGAAAACTATTCATATGGTTTTTAAAATGACCATGACAGCTTCAATTTTCTTACTTTAAGCCACAATACAATGAAATTCTATCAATTTGAGCCTTCAGTCAAATTGATTGTTTGATCGTTTATTAAGTTGATGACAACACAAGACTCTTATATTGCTTTTGAGTGTGTTGATACACAAAATCTAATGGACTTCGGGTCAATGTAAAGAGCGATGTGAGGACCTTTGCAAAGCCATCCGGTCAAGGGTAGATGGGTAAAGCAACTTGCAAGGAAGGTAGAGTAAGTATCGAAAGGCTTCAGTGTAGTACTAGCCTAAGAACCTCCAATGCTTAAGTTAGCAAAGTGTGTTTAGGGTGCCAAGTGAGCAAGTTTAATAGTAATATAGTGTTTAAGTAGTAATAGCAATTACCCTTTTGAATGGAGTAGAAGTTACCCGGCAAAGTTGGAAAAGATTCCTTGACTTTGGCCAATGTGGGATTGAGTGCATTTAGTGTGGTGTTGCCACTTTTCGCATGGCCTTCAAATTGGAGAGAAATCTTCCATTAGTCATGGGAGTAGTCAAGTGTTGTGAGATTGATCCGTGCGCTTCAGTAAGGGTGTCGAAGCAAGTTAAGAGGGTTACCGAGGTTCCCTAGTTAACCGGTACTCGTTGGTTTCATACTCGATGTATATGATTCCAGCAACATGTAAGCCTCATTTGCACCACGTTGACAACAAAGCAAAGAAACTAGAAACTCTTTCACCCATTTTAAAAATAGTTAAAACCCAAGGAACTTTAACGAAAAGCTCCCAGTACTATTTACTTTAACGTAAAACCACATTTTTACACTAAAAAATCAATCATGGTACTATTCATTTTATCTTTTATTTTCTACTTATCGTTAAAATTCAAAATTTTTCAAATCATTTTCATTAGTTTTTGTAAAACCCAAAGGATGGAAAATAGGGTTAAAACTAGGCACTCTTTTCGGCTGGGCTGTGCACCGGCTCTGCGGGAGTAAGCTGAGGTCTGCTCTGTTTGCATTCCTTGCAAATACGCGCATATTACAATTCAACAATTTAAAGAATGAGCCTTGACGTGCAAGCATTGGTTCGAATTCTCCATTCCTGCAGCACCCACCATTCAATCCACATCGGAAAGCAGCTCCACCTTATCTTCCTCAAAAAGGGTGTTTTAAACTCTGCCGTCACGCTCGGAAATCGTGTGATGCAGATGTATGTGAAATGCGGAAGCATGGCTGATGCACGGAAACTGTTCGACGAAATGCCCCAGAGAAACTGTTTCTCCTGGAACACGTTGATCGAGGGTTATATGAAATCTGGGGACCAAGAAAAGTCTTTGGAGATGTTTGATGCCATGTCCCATAAGGATGATTTTGCGTGGAACTTGGTTGTTTCGGGGCTTGCTAAAGCGGGTAAGCTAGAGATTGCTCGGGGTTTGTTCAATGAGATGCCTAGGAGAAATTGGGGTATTTGGAATTCTATGATTCATGGATATGCCAAAAATGGTTGTCCTGGAGAGGCTTTAAGGCTTTTCAAGGATTTGAATTCGGACGCGTTGGAATTGTCAAGTGAATATAAGTTTGTGTTGGCTACTGTTGTTGGAGCTTGTGCCGATTTGCTTGCACTGGGTTGGGGCAAGCAAATCCATGCGCGCATTTTCATTGCTGAAGTTGAATTTGACTCTGTTTTGGCTAGTTCGTTGGTTAACTTTTACGCGAAGTGCGGGGATTTGGATAGCGCGGGCCACATGTTAAACATGATGAAGGAACCAGATGATTACTCTCTCTCAGCATTGATTTCAGGTTATGGAAATTGCGGTAGAATGAATGATGCAAGAACAGTTTTCGATACAAAAAGCAATCCGGATATTGCGTTGTGGAATTCATTGATTTCTGGATATGTTAACAATAATGAAGACAATGGAGCATTAATTATCTTCAATGAAATGCTGAGTAATGGCGTTCGTGGAAATTCATTTACGCTCGCAAGTGTTTTGAGTGCCATTACTATCTCAGGCGTCCTTAGACATGCTGAACAAATGCACACGCATGCCTGCAAAGTTGGGCTGATCGGGAATGTTATCGTTGCAAGTGCTATTCTTGATGCATACTCGAAGTGCGGAAGTCCTAATGACGCTTGCAGATTGTTTAGTGAGCTCCAAACCTTCGACACAATATTGCTTAATTCTATGATCACTGTGTATTCAAATTGTGGGAGAGTCGAAGACGCTGTACAGGTTTTCAACACAATTCCAAGTAAAAGCTTGGTATCTTGGAATTCAATGATAGTAGGCCTTAGTCAAAATGGTTGTCCGATTGAAGCATTAGATCTTTTCAGGCAGATGAACAAGCTGGACTTGAGGATGGACAAGTTTAGCCTTGCTAGTGTGCTCAGTTCATGTGCTAATATATCCTCACTTGAATATGGCGAACAGGTTTTTGCCAGAACTACCATCCTTGGGCTCGATTGTGATGAAATTGTATGTAACTCGCTTGTTGATTTGTATTGCAAGTGTGGTCTTCTTAAAAGTGGGCGAAAACTGTTTGACAGAATGGCAAAGTCCGACGAAGTTGCTTGGAATTCGATGTTGATTGGTTACGCTACAAATGGTCACGGAATTGAAGCGCTAGCTCTTTTCGATGACATGAGGCTTTTGGGAGTGAAACCCAATGAGATTACATTTACAGGGGTTTTGTCTGCCTGTGATCATTGTGGGTTGGTTGAAGATGGACGGAAATGGTTTTACAAGATGAAACAGGATTATCATATCGATCCAGGCATCGAACACTACACTTGCATGATTGATCTTTTCTCTCGCGCTGGTTGCCTTGACGAAGCAATGAATCTCGTTGAAGTGATGCCTTTTAAGGCAGATGCAAGCATATTGTCATCAGTCCTAAGAGGTTGTGTAGCTCATGGACGCAAGGATCTTGGGAAGAGAATGGCAGAGCGAATCATTGAGCTTGATTCTGAGAACTCGGGTGCTTACGTTCAGCTGTCTAACATATTTGCAGACGTGGAGGAATGGGAAGGATCTGCACAGGTTAGACAAGTCATGAGAGATAACGGAGTACAAAAAGATCCCGGTTGCAGCTGGTTTGACCGTTGAAGAAGAGACACTTATGGCAAGTTAGTTCTTGGAAGCCTTCCAGGATACGGGAAATGCAAATGGAAAGGTTCATTCACCAAGCCAAGGTGGGAACTTCGACTTAGATAGGTATGGAAGGCGAACACAGCATATCACCGGAGTTTCTGGTGACAGCACGCCTGTACTCGAGCTTAAGAACACAAAGACGACTGGACTTGTCTTCACAAAAACAACTGTAGGGCAATCGCCTCATTAGTTAACGACCATCGAATGATCTGAGAAGTGCACAAACCTGTGGTTCAACCAGCAACCGCGGCGTTTAGGAGCTATCTCAATAGAACAGGGGGCGCACAACCCTCCCAAAAGCTGAGCAACTCGCTCATGCGGTGATGCAGGTACTAAATCACTCTTTTCGGCTTTGCGGAAGTCATACAAAAAACTTAAGCTGGCCTAGCAGGGCAGTTATTTCGGACTAGCAAACTAAATTTCTAAGGAATTCCAAATGACGAAATTTTATTTTTTTAGAATTTGTATATCTTCTTGTTCGCTAACCTAAAAGAAAAATGAAATTTAATTCGAAACAAATGCGTATATAGACACCGCTCTTCGAACAAAAATACTTTATTGGGCAGCTTTCGACATTTCATTGTACAAAACTAGGGATCCAGAAACATATCACGGAGCGGCATACGAAGGAACTGGGAGAAACGGAAATGGTGCAATTGAGGCATATGATACAGGCGGGCGAACTTGCGTGCCATCTGTGGAATTCCTCAACCTATTCTTCCGATTGACATTGCCGTCTTGTGAGGGCAACGAAAGCTCAACGCTACTCTCAAAATTCTCCTCAGTAAGGCATTGTTGGTTATCAACGATACGGTGAAACAGAATCCCAGACATAAATACAGGAAGATAAAGAAGGCTGGCATGAAACATCTTCCTTGCTTTATGTCTAGTACGGTCTCGATAGAACGAAAATGATGTTGCAGCTATCGCGAGAGTAAGAAGAGTAGATTCAAGACAAAACCATCCCGACGTCATACCCCCTGCAGACAGATGAAATGGGTGGAACCCAACATTAATTTTTCCCTGCTTAGTGATCAAAGGCCAAAGATTGCATCTCAAGCAAGGAATAAGTTAGTCATTCTACGATGAAGAGAGTTGCATAGTAACAAAAGATGACATGTCCGATTAATCAACCGCTTATAGATATACTACGATGACCAAGAAATTAAATTTATCGCACATTGGTAGAAAAGAGGGGAAGAAAAATAAAAGCGCTCAAAGAGCTTTACAAGAAGACAACCACCAACAGAAATACAAAAATACAAATAGAAACACGGTTATTAAAAGAAAGAGGGTTTGTGAGTCTTGGACTTACAGTCATAGGCCAAGAACCCCAACGGGATCATGTATATGCAATTCCTTAAAGCCACGGAGGCTGTTCTCCGACCAGAAGCATCAGCAAGGGAGAACATCCTAAACCTGAATATGCAACAAACGAAAAAGGGTTAGAGAGGAAGAAGCCAAGTGAACTGCATCAATAATATATGGACCACCATCACTCATACAAAGATCCCACCGACCCCATACACGATCTATCTAGAAAATCAGTTGACGGCAAGTTCCTAAATCTCATGCTAATCATTTAAAAGAGTTAGTACATTGGATAGAAAAACAGTATGCTCATGCCACTAGCTCTCAAAAGGTAAAAAAACGCTGTCTACTATAATTCTTTCTGCCTTGAATTCAAAGGGCATCATTGGATGTTGATTAATTATTTCCATGAACAGATACAAGGCCCACATCATGAAGGCAAAGGCAGGATATAAAAACTCCTGTTCTGAAACAATTTCTCAGTGCAATATGTGAATCTTTTCAACTGATGACATAAATGATAAAGTAAGACCATGAAAGACCCAAAAGTCCATACCCTCCAGCGGCATAGTCATCACGGCACAAGTATGCAAGGGCCATAAAATGTGGTATTTGCCAAAAGTATAGAGCAGCTGGGAGTAGCATTGCATTCAGGGAAACCTGCCCGGAAGCTGCAGCCCAACTGAAAACCCAAAAGAGAAATCATGAGCTAGCATGCAGGAAAAGTCGGTCATTGATAATAACTTATTTATGTCATTACTCATAATTAGATCAAACAAGAATATCAGTTCAGATCTGCAAGAGAAGCTAAGGTCATTAACTTCCCGAAAGACACACATATGAAGTTCAAAACAGAGTATAAGAAAACTGCAAGGGGGAAATTCAACACGGAGAAAATTATAGAAAAGAGAACTAGATCTTTATCCACTTTTTTCAAGAAGTATAAATAAGAATTATACTTGGATGAATAATATAAAAAGAGTTAAATCATATAGTGATGACTATCCCATAATAACATCCTAAGACCAAAGTTGATTGACAGGGTGTGTGGCTGCAGTGTTAGAAGCTTCATATCTAAAAGTTTTTGAGGCAGATAAAATGGGATATCAGAGAGTAGCAAGTGATGGTCAATCATCTTCCCATGTGCATGCCAAGACAAACCAATCTGTTTTCCTTGTGGTGCAGTCCTAGGATACAGGAGTGTTATAGCAATCAGATGATGAAGCAAAGTGAACCACCTCCGGATGAGGTCGTTCAAAATCATCAACTTGAAAATGGTCCCATCTACAAGGTGTACGCACACGGAAACACACTTAGTGTGTGTGTGTGTGTGTGTGTGTGAGAGAGAGAGAGAGAGAGAGAGAGAGAGAGAGATCTATTTTACTATTGAACAAGTGGAAGCTACGACTTAAGTTCATAGATATTGACAAAAAATTTCAGACCAGAGAGGGAGGTCATGGGCAGGACTGAGAGAAAAAGATACTGGGGGAATATGCAGTTATAACTTATATGTATTAAATATTTAGTACAACAGTGGGTACTTTTCAATAGATTTTGGGAAACAAACTTGGTTTTTATTTAAAGCTAAATGGGGATTGGAGAAAATCGTGATCAGGTTTGGGCTGCCAAAATATATTGCAACAACTAACATTTAAGCTACTATAAGTTAGCTGAAAACATAATTTTTCAATAGTCAAAGCAAAAAATAAAGGAACTCCAATAAGTCCAATGAAAATAGCATGTATCTCAAAGAAAATCACGAATCAATTACCCTAAAAGTGGAGGGATAGCCCCAACAACAGCACCAACCCACGTATTCACTGGGTGAATCTGCTTCAACGGAGTGTACACAAACGCATAAAGTATTAAATTGGAGGCTCCAAGACCAGCTGCCAACATATTAGCCTGCAACAACCTTGTCATAAGAGTGGCAACATTAGTCCCCAAACTCACAGCCGATCAAACACTTGAGGTGATGGAAATCAGAAATTTAATGTCACATAACATTTACAGAAGTGAGAATTCATTTGGGCACCTTGCTTGCCAATAAAGCAGTTCCAGCTAAACCAGCAGCGGATGCCCAGGTGACTGCATGAGGGATCGTAATGCGTCCTGAAGGTAGTGGTCTGTTCTTCGTTCTGTTCATTTTGGCATCATTTTGCTTCTCAAACACCTAAAACCAAAATATTACAATGATTTAACACCTTATCTAGTAAAATTTAGATACGCAAAACTACAGGTAATGCATATGGTGAGCCATTAACTACTCAAAAATGATAAATGGGCCCTAAACATTGAAAATTAGAAACTGCACCATCAAAATAAAATAAAATGAACTTTTAGAAAATCATTAATCTTGAAATGGTTCTAATTATCATCAAATATTTTGTTCATAATTTTCATATCGGTCCCCTTCATAGTTGGATTCCATGCTAAGCTTCATTCCTACTTGTATCTTAGATCAAAGTTTAATAGACAAAGAAAATATGTTGTGTGTATGTACTCCTGTTACAAGGGAGACATCTCTTCACATACTGACCGACCAGTTAGTTCCACTTCTGTATAGTGTGTGTGTGTGTGTGTGTGTGTGTGTGTGTGACATCTCTTCGCATACCGACCGACCAGTTAGTTCCACTTCTGTATAGTGTGTGTGTGTGTGTGTGTTGAAAGAAAAATCTGTTACTGAAGAGCAAACCTGATTTAAGGAATTAGCAGATGCTGCAACCATCATGGTACCAGCACATGTGCAACAAAGTCCAGCAAAATCAATGGCATGGCCACTTCCAAGAACAAAGCCAGTTCCAGAAGTTGCAACGACTAACATGCTGAAGTAAAAGTGAAAATTACATAAGAAGAAATCTTAAAGTAAGTTTGAATGACAAAACTTGTAAATCCCCAGGTAGAAAACAATCCGCTATGAACACAAAAGGTACATGTTTAATGCATAAATGAAAATACACCAAATACTTCTTTCACATGTGGAAGCAAAACATCAAAAGTCAAAACATCCTTTTCTAAAAGAGCAATCAAACTGAGTTCTGAATTCAGGAGTTGAAAAAAATGGCATACTAAGTGATAACTTAGATGGAGGTGGAAAATAAATACTTTCCAATGATGCAAATTGAGGTAGCTCACTTCTTTGTTGTCTTTTTTGGAAAATATTCATTTATAATTTTATATCATGTTAGATGAGATGCTAGAAGTGGAGTTTATTATAATCGTGAGGCAGCTTCTTGGTTTATGTGACAATCCATCTCTATTTATTGATTTGGTTTTTCCTTGGTGAGCTGCCTATGATATGACTTGAAGGAGAAGACTACACATCCATTTGTCTCCACACGGGTTTACAATGAGTTAAAAGTGGGGCTAAAAGTGCAGGTCCAGTGATTCTCCATTGTCCTACGGTTCTAAAACTATGAGTGAGATCGTGTAGCAATGAAATTGTGCTGGGTAGTTCTAGCTGGATGTTTCCCTAATTTTTGAGAGGCATGAAATTGTCTGGTTGTGAATAGGAAAAGGTTTTGTGGGGCTGTAGTGTGCTAGCCGATTTTAGGTGATGTTTGAATACCATCTACGATACCCTAATTTTGGTTTAAGGTCCAGGTTGTCGAAAGAAAATATATTATTGGTTCTGCAACCTAGTTTGTTTAAAGTTGACACCTTGTGCACAGTTGTAGGGGCAATTAGCTACAATAAACATATTTTGACATTTCTTTGCAGAAATGATTAGTGTTTATTATGTCATCATTATATTATCATTGTGCGACTTGTGTCGCCAATATATGATCAATATGTTGTCGAAAAATGATAATTTCTGCAAATCAAATGTCACAATATGTTTATTCTAGTTATCTTCCCAAGATTGTATTGGTTTTTAATGGAAATTAAATGTTGTTTTTCAACAGAAATCAAACATATTAAAGAAGAATAAAATGAATCAACATAAGACTAAACATATCAAATAATCACAAAAAAAATTCTCTACAACTGTCACCGAAATTATCAATAAATCTCAGAGAACACAATTTTTAATTGTTACATGATGAAAAATGATTGAATAGATTGAGGAAATGGTGGAAATGAGTACCTGAGGCGAGCTTTGGAGAGCTCCCAATAGCAGCGGCCATAGTGGCGGGCCAAGTGCGAAGCCCTGGAAGCCAAAGACGCGAGATCAGCCGCCGCCGGAAGGGCTCCGACTCCATCGGCTCGGTGAAGCCCGAGCTTGAGAGAATCTGAAGGCGAAGGCGAAGGGGAGTAGGGGTAGGATTGGGTGAGGGAGTGAGAGAGCAGCGCGGGTCGAACGCCGCCGTGTGCAGCGGTGGGGGAGGCGGAAGACAGGTGGTAGAATGGGTTGTTGGATATCGGGAACTTGGAAGATAAACTCTTCGAGTTCCTCCACATCGTGGTCTCGTGAATGCAGAGAGAAAGGGAAGACGAAGTAGAAGAGATCGACAGAGCAGCTGACCCGAGCGACTGCCTGCTTTTAGGCCCAACACTACTAGCTAACCAACTAACCTGCGAACGGGTCGGGTTTGTCCTTATGGTTACGGATTGACCTATTATTTTCATGGGGTGTCCAGTGATATCCACACACCCTATTTTATTTCTTACATACTTTTTTAATTTTTGGCAATTGAAGAATATTAACAGTTAGAAATTATCAAGGGCGTGTGAATAACACATCCCTATTTTCATATCATTTTGTAAGTTCTAAAGCCTGATGTTTGAGCCTATAATAACCTAACTCATTAATAGACTCTTAACGGGTGATTTTATACCAACTCAACTCGACTCATTAATAGTATTTGTTTGTTGGAATCTACACCCTGTTAATTGGATTTCAATTAGGTTTTTTTTTTTTTTTTGGGTGCATTGATTCATGAAGTAATAAATGGGGTCCAAATGAGATATGAGTAAGGATTGGAGATTATGAAGCATCAAAGGGTGAACGTTTTCGCCATCTTGGATTTATCTTGCAAAAGAACAAAGACTTAGATGGAGATCTCAACTATAAAATTCAAGCTGGATTGATGAAGCGAAATAGTACATCGGTTTGTAAAGCGATCATCGTATGCCATTAAAACTTAAGAGAAAATTTTATAAGACGACTATAAGACCAGCAAGGCTTTATGTCACGAAGGTTTAGCGGTCATAAAGCAACACAAACAAAAAATGAGTGTAGTGGGAATGAGAATGCTTTGTTGAATGTGTGGGCACACAAGAAATGATAAGATAAAAGAACAAGGATATCCAAGGTAAAGTAATAGTGATCGCAATTGAAAGTAAGATGAGAGAAAATTGGTTAAGGTTGGTAAGACATGTGAACTGAATGCCTACAGATACTTCAGTTAGAAGATGCGGCAGAAGATCAAGTCAAAAAGGGTCAAAGAAGAAGGCTTGGGAAAACTTTTAAAGAGACTTCAAGAAAAGATATAAAGTACTTGAAGCTAACGGAAGACGTGATGCAAAATCGAGTGTAATGACGTTCTAAGATTTATGTAAATGAATCCACATAGTGGGACAACGCTTAGTTATTGTTGTTGTATAAGGTTTGCAGCTTCCGTTTGTTGCGTCATGGGAGTTTCTTCGACATATTCTTTCTACTACTTTTGCGTTGTGTTTGGTTCTGTATATGGGATAGATAAAACTTGTCTCATATATAGGAAGCGGTTTATGGCTGCATTTCAAGTACTCAAAACTCAGTTTGTAACAATACCTGAGATAGAATAAATCTAGTCTCATTTGTTCACCAATAATCTCGGCAAGAGCACAAGCCGTCTTCGAAATGGTGGAACCTCTTAGCATCTCGCATGATGAGTTTTCGGCCTACAATTTTCGAAATGATCTTCAACGCGTTATGGCAATCACCACAAACACGAAGATTCTTGATTACTCTAATAGTTGAACGAGCTGAGCTGCTGATGAGGCCATGAGCGAGAGCAAGTCGCTCACTATGGGCAAGCAGAGCATCTTCCTTGCCTTCCTGATCTATGTCATGTAGCACAAATCTAGTCTCCGGAATGTAACCAGCCTCCTTCATTTGTTCCCTTAAACCCCTAAGTTGAGCATAAATCTCATCGTTCTCAGGATGAGATTTATCACCTGCTCGATATTCATGGACTCGGCTCCTGACTTCTAAAAGATTTTGTGCTGCCAATTTTTTGTTCTCTTTCTCCTTTACCAGGTCAGATTCTTTTACAGGAATAAGGCCAGCCTTTGACTGCTCATCTAAGCAGGAGGGATCTAGCCGCTCAATAAGCTCCGCACAGCGGTCCCCAAGCTCCAACTGGCCGTGAACTCTGCAGTGATTCATCAAGGTCTTCCAAACATCGACGTTAGGTTCCAATGGCATCTTTTCAATGAATTCCAAAGCTTCATCCAGATAGCCCGTACTTCCTAGCATAGCTACTACACTCACATAATGATCCATATTTGGGACAATACCATAATCTTTGCTCATTGATTCAAAATGCAGCAATCCTTCATTAACATCTCCCACTACACTGCAAGCGTATAAAACCCCAATAAACAATTGGCCATCAGGTTTCAAGCCTGCTTTTTTGAATTGGGTAAATAGATCGATGGCATCTTCCCCGATACCATTCTTAGCCAGCCATGTTATCATAATGTCCCATGATGTCAAATTCCGGTTAGGCATCTTGTTGAAAACCAAAAATGCGTTGTCCATAGAACCACATTTAGAATACATCTCCAAGATTCTGTTGTACGTACTCACGTTCAGAGGAGGCAATAATCTTGTAATGTTGTCATGAACAATTTTTGCTTCTTGTAGAGCCTTAGCCTCACCGCATGCCTGCATTAACTGTAAATAGAGATGCAAATCCACATGAACATGCTGCTTCTCTAGCAGTCCCAAGATCTCCACAGCCTCCTTAACTTTCCCCTCCTTGCAAAAACGATCCAACTCTTCAAGACTAGAACTAGACGGGCTATTTTCTGAAGCCTCAATCAATTGCCCTTCAGATTTTGACTCACTTCCCACGTGAGAATCCACTATCGTATTTTGAAAAGCATCTGAATTTGTCTGATATTGTCCAACGCGGGGGCTTTGCTGGTATTGCCCAATACTAGGCTGTTGCTGGTATTGCGCATAACTAGGTTGTTGCTGATATTGTCCATATGCATAACTAGAATTCTGTTGATATTGTCCATAATTAGGGTTCTGCTGATGACCATTGGTGTTTTGCTGATACTGTGCATAACTTTGCATAGAATTCTGATTTGCGTTTCCCTGAGACACTGAATTGCCTTGTGAATCAAAACCATTGGGGTTCTGTGTAACTTCTATTGATCCCTCTTGCCGAGACACATATGGATTCTGTATATTTCCATTTCCTAATTGTTTCCCGTTCAGGTTTGGGGTGTTTTGCAACCCTCCATTTTCATAACCGTAATACCCACGGAAATTTCCATTTCGTTGAACTGGGTCATTTAGAAATTCATTGCCTGTGCCTCTCCAGAAAGTCCCACTGTAACTCTGATTGTACTGATTTGAGCTCTGCTTGGGATCCCGTGAACCATCCGCAAAAGACCCATTTAGTTTCTGCTGCAACTGCCAACTATTTTGACCAGAATACCCACTATCACTTCCACTCTGATTATATGTATTGATCCTACTCTGTATAAACATTAATTGAAATTAAATCACTATATAGCCCGCAATTAAGAAAATTTGATATCTTTAAAACTGCAAAAAGAGAAGTGTAGTTAATTTGTTAACCTGATGCTCTGCCTCAACTTCCTCATGTTCATGACCCATAGCAAATGCAGATGCACTGGAATAGGAAGTAAAGGTGGCGTGGGTGCAGGAGAGAGCACCGGAACGCTGATACGGCAACATTGAAGAGGAAGATGGTGAGAAGATGAGGAGTCGAAAGATGTGTCTGATACATGAGGATCTATGCGAGCCTGAGGTTGAGGCAAGGGTTTGGAGCTGCGCTGATGGAGCTGATACCACTCGCTTCCACATTTTTCCCAGTTACTCAGTTTTGTTTCACTCTCTCTGCAAATGCACAGATTACCAATTTATAAATGATATAGAAGAAATTAAGAATCAAACTGACATTATTAAGGGAGAAAAGCAGAACCATGAGCGGAAATATTCATTTATGGCTCAATCAGAATTGTGGGAAAATGTTTGATATCTGAATTTCTTTTGGGAATTGTTATTAGCACTCCAACAGATTCATTCTACCTCCTTCCGTCTTTATTTTTTGCAATAGGGAGGAGTGCATGATGACTGTTTTGGAGTGCATATAGCAGCTGCCAGCTCCCTTTCATTTTTTAATAATAAGAAAATTCATGATTGTTGAGCCTTCACCAAAAGATTAGAAATGGGAGACTTAAAGGACATTAGCCTTCACCCAAAAATTAATGATTGTTCAGCCTTCACCCTAAGCTGTGTTTCTAAAACTGATGTGAGTACAAATAGGGGTTTGTGAGCTTTTGATAAGCGGTTGTGACTCTGTATAATGGCCAAAAATGACACGATACGAGAAAAACAGCAAAAAAAAAAAAAGAGAAAGCAAGCATAGATAACAACTTGCATGATAGTTTGACTTTAAATCATGCAAGATAATGAAAATAACTTATAATTCTCCTAAACATCATCAGCAATTGATTTCTCATCAATCAATAATCCTGACCTTACATCTATGATATGATCTAGAATAAGTTCATCATAATGAAAAAAACACATGGAAACACTTTTAGGAAGTAATAGAACAGACTTATAAACTCATTTAGCTAGATGTTGGTTCATATCTTCGGAAGTAAATTCCCCAAAAGTACTCAAATAGCGCACTGATGACTGATCTCTCTCAGAATCTCAACTTCACTCCACACAATAACAACTTCTAACAATGCACAAGTAAACAAAGAGGCAGACCACTAGCGGTCTGAAAATTGGTAAAGTCATTAACATACTCGAATCAAAGGAAAAGCCACACAAATGGTGGAAGGAAAATAATGAACAACCTAAAAAGAATCCATTGTTGCAGAAAGAAAACGTGAACCGCAGCTATTCCCACTGAAAACGAAGGCAAAAAATAAAAGCTATCAAATCCTAAACATGACCAAGTAAGTGTTTAAATATGAATTCCAAAGAAGTGAACCTTGAGGTTCTCTTCAATCCATAACTAATGGTATTGAACCAGAGGTTTAATCAGATTGATTTAATTCACATTACTTGTTCCGCGGAACAACTGTGGCTGCTCTCTGTGATATGAGACTGAGATTCTTCGTTCTTCCTCGGTGGGAAGTTTGCGTTATTTCCTAAGACATCTTATAGGAATTGGTTCTTGTTCAGAGGCTTCTCTAGTAGTTTTGTTTGTATTAACAGTATCTTCATCGACTAGCTGTTCAAGGAGTTCATTACTTACGCCGGCCAGGAGCAAAGCTTGGCGACGCTGCCGGGTTCTTTCTCCTCCCAGGATTGACAATATATAACGCATAAACCCATAAACCCATAAACCCTACGACATATTCCATCAAGAATTTCAAAACCCACCAATCATTTCGTACAAATTTCCAAAACCAATCAATCATTTCATTCATTTGTTCAGCAAATTAACTAAAACCCATCAAATTATATGTATATATAACGTAATACTGAAAGATTGAACGAAAAAAGATGGGATCTTTAAAGAGAAAATACCTGAAAATATCCTTTCGACTTTGTGGGTGGGAATATTTTCAGCAAAGCAAAGTCCTTGTCCTTGTCTGCAAAACTGAGTGCCCTTGTCCTTTTTGCGGTGAGTGGAATTTGAACAACGAAGAGCTGCTGGAGAGGGAGGCTCCGAGGTCTGGTTTGGTACTGAGGTGATTCTGAAAAAAGTTGGTATAAAAAAAAGCTGGGAGCTGTTTTTGTGTTTGGAAAACATTCAGCTTCAGCTTTTTTTCACAGTTTTGGGTGAAAAAAAGCCAAAAACAAGAAGCTGCAAAACCCAGCTTTGAAAAACTGGTTTTTTTTCACATCTGTTTTACATAAAAGTTTACCAAACACTATAATACAGCTTTTTTTTTTCAAAAGCACTTTTACAAAAAAATTTACCAAACACTTTGCTGCTTTATTTCACAGCTGCTTATTCTCACAACACATCAGAAGCAGCTTTTTTTCAAAGCACAGCAATACCAAACCAGCCCTGAATGAGAGCAAAGCGATGGGGTGACGACGGGTCGTGTCGGGTTTGGGTCGTGGATCGGAAGTAAAAATGGATCAAGAAATCTTCATTCCAATTGAATGCAAAACCCATTTTTTAAAAACGGGTCAGAGACCTCCAGCATAATGCAACCCGTTTATTAAACGGGTCAATAAGCACCCCATAGAACATCCTAAACCCTGAACCCTACTTTCATTAGAGAAGGGTACAAAAGGAATTTCACACGCCAAAAATTAGCATGGGTTAATCTATATTTATTTCAAAAAATTTGGATTGGAACACAATTTTTGGAATGATTGGTAACAAGGTTTTCAATATTTATTTCAAAATTTTGGATCAGAAAACAATTTTTAAATTTAGAATTTTCTGAACATAATTTAGAATTTTCTATTTGTCCCTTTTTTTGTATGCCCATAATAAAATGCATGATTAAAATACGTAATTTCAGTAAATAAGTAAAAGAAAAAACTGAAATTTTCAGAATTTTTTTATCAAATAATTTTAGAAAATTTCAAAAAATTTCAGAATGAATTCTCAAAATCTCTAAATGTATTCCAAGTTTCATTTGAGGTTTTTTAGAAATTTTTTAATTCATAAATTTTTGAGTCCGGATTGAAAATTTTAATGGGGGAATTGGAAATGACATTCCAACTTGCATCCCTAATTGTGAGGGTAATTATGTCCCATAAATAAAAGGAAAATGTTATTGACACTTCAAAAATGAGACAAACTCATAGGAAAAATTTGAGACAAAACTTAAAGAAGCTGAGAAAAATCTCAAGGGAAAATTGAAAAAGAGAGCATAGGATTGGGAGAAAGAGGGAAAGAAGAGAACAAGAAACTTGGACAGGGATAGCCACCAGCACTCAAGCCAAAGGCTAGGGCCGGCGGCAAATGAGTTTGCAAGGATGGGAAACGAGAGTGAGAGAGTCTCACGTGTTTTCTTCTACAAGTAAAAACGCCTAATGCGATTTCTTCAACTTCACATACAGATGAAGCATTTATACTTTTGCTACTGTTGTTACACATGATCAATTAGGTAATTGATTACGAATTTACGAAATGGTCTGCAGGCTCGAAAAGATTAAGGAAAAAACATGTACCACACTAAACCCTAAACCACACACTAAATAAGTACGGGAAATTTCATTTCGAAGTTGGATGCCCATCTCCTTCATAAAACCCCCAAAATGTCCTGCAAGTGAGAAGCTTGACTAGGCAAAATCGGACATCACCAAATCCGATTCTTGCTTTCGATTGTATTCTTCGATAAACTAAGACGATGTAACGTATTATTTCTATACAAACATGTATATCCAGCATAACCTTTTGCTATACTACTTCACATACATGAAGATCTACAACAACAAAAGGAAGCAAACTAAGATCACCTTCGTCCATACGTGCAATGTTCTGATGCTACCTTTGTATGTCTTGATTTTCTTGTCTAGGGGGTTCCGTGTAAACTTGTCCTTGCTCTCTCACATCTCTGAACATAGAAAGAAGGGAATTGAGGCCGCCTTCAGAGGACGCCCCTCCTAAGATCCATAACAGAAGTGAACTGAATGAATTCATAGCGCCGGGGTTGGGACCATTCTCTGCTTGATTCAGATCAGCTTGGCCGGGAGCCTGAGGGTTTCCTACCCCGTCTAGGTTGTCGTTACCTGACTGTTCTTGAAGGCCGGGTGCTTCTGCTGCATTTGATGGTACTGCTGGATTTGATCCAGATCTCAGCCCGGGTCCAGGTTCCAAGTCAGAATTAACTAGGTCGGGGTTTCTTGGGTTCAATCTTGTGATCTGTACCGTTGAGGCAAGGAACGTTGACGAGGTAATGTGGAAATCTGGGTGTTGCTGGAGCTGAGATCGTCGATTTTGGATGAACCTCTGTAAAGTTGGTACCTGCAGGGAGTGTACCAAGGTAATAACTGGTTAAACTTCGACTAATTAAGGTCGTTACAGATCTCAACAATAACATACAGACCACACTCAAATGTTCCATTAATGATCTTATTCTTGTACCAGTTATGCCTCTGGTCTATTGTCAAACTAGGAAAATACGCAAAGTACATGGTAGTTTGCAATAGATCGTGTCATTCAAAAATATTTCATCTACACAATAAGCCAGGCCCTAAAGGGAAAGAATCTACACAATAAGGGTTAAGGGTTACCTCAAAACGGTTCCAGAAGTATAGAATGAGATGCTGCATAAAAGCGGCAGCTGTAGAAAGAGCCAAATACGAAAAACCTGCAAACAGTTCGAAAGGAGGATTTTAGCAACAAAACAAAAAATAGTTTCCATCTAACAGTAAAGCAAGAAGTAATACGTACCATAAGTATAGGAAAAGAAATAGATGTGGAAAACAAGAAAGTAGATCAAAAAGAAGCGGGGAAAGAACTTCATAGAAATGGGCGTCCGGACACTGCAAGAAGGGCAATCAAATGAGAAGAGCATGATACAAACTAGAAATGTAGCAAAAATAGGGTGTGCACAATGGAGGGAAAATTAGCCTTAAAAGAGGTGCCATTATCAATGCATTGGGCCATAAAACTTTTCTAAGATCATATCTTAGCCAAGTTACATAGCGACTCACATTATCAAAGCCCATGAACAAGGCTTTCAACTCTTTCATGGTACATCTTAGGGCACTTGGTGATTTTCTTTGTATCTAAGTGGCTTTGGAGACATATCCAAGAGCTGGGAAATGGAAATTTGGAGGCTAGAAATAAAGCCTTTCTAGCTAAGTGGCTTTGGAGTTCCTTTGTGTCCGAAAGCTTTATGGAACTTGGTGAGTAAGAGTAAATATGGTGTTTCACCTAATGGGTGGGATTCAAAGGTTGTTTTGACTAGATCATGTCACAACCAGTGAAAAGACATATCCAAGGTTTTCAACTCTTTGATTTCCAATTGTAGCTTTGTTGTGGGAAATGGCAAAAGAATTCCGTTTTGGGAAGATGTGTGGTTGGGTACTTCTTGCTTGAAAGATCAGTTTCCGAGACTCTACAACCTGTCTGCTTCTCACAACAAGGTTATTTCTCAGATAATGGATGCTTCTAATGGTTGGAGGAATTGGAACTTTGGCTTTAGGAGGAATTTAAATGAGTGGGGTGTGGAAGAATCTTCATCCGTCCTAGGTATGGTCAACAATGTCATTATTCACAACTCTAGGCTGTACTCAAGGAGATGGTCGTTGGACACCGGCGGAACATTTTCATGCAGATCTCATTACAACCACATCACCAAATTGGAAAATGAGCAATCTTTCCATCCCTTTCGGCTGATATGGAAATCTTGAGTTCCTTCAAATGTCAAAATTTTGTCTTGGTTGGTAGCTCATAGCAAGGTCAATGCATGTGATATGGTTCAGAGAAGACGCCCCTATTTTAATTTGCTACCTCAATGGTGCATCTTATGCAAATCTTCCTCTGAATCAATCGACCATACCTTTCTTCATTGTCCAGTGACTTTGAGTTTATGGCTGACGTTCAGGAGATGGGTATCTCTTGGGTATCCCAAAGAATTGTCTTTCCCTCATCAGTGAGACCCATTTTACATTGTGGAAGGGGAAGAAAGCCAGGGTTTCGCTTGGCTTTATCATGCTGCGGGTTGGGTTGTTTGGATGGAGAGAAATAAAAGGATCTTCAAGCATTACGGGGGAGCAAGTATTGAGGAGCTTTGGGATGAAGTTCAGTTTCTATCAGTCTTATGGGATTAGGATTCTAATGAGTTCACTGGAATATAGCTTTGCTTGCTTTGTTTAGACTGGAAGGCAGCTCCTTTAGTCCAGCTGTGCTTTTGGCTTTAGGTTGTTTTCGTTTTTGTTTGCTTGGTTTTGTGATCTTTGTTGTGGTTGAAGTGTTTGGACTGGTCTGCTAGACCACCCTATCCGTTTGTTTCTTTTTTTCCTAATAAAATTCTCTGCATAAAAAAAACCCCTTGATCAAGGCAATCAACTGCAGAGATAATGGGGCTAAAGCCACATCAGTTTCAAAAGAGTGCCGGTTACAACCTAACCCTGCCTCAAAACTGGTTGAGTGTTGACTTTCAGGTAATATTTTATCCATATTAAGCCCAGCACTGCCAATCTAAAATAGGCCTACATACCAGATTCTAAAGAGCAACAAGTTGAGCAATCATCTGTGTCTAGACCACATATCTGATTTATATATTACAACCAAGATATGCCGGATGAAAACTATGAACTCATGCATTGACTAATGACACCACGATTCCCATCACATGAACTGTGGAAAGGAATGTCTCCTCAGAGTGAATAATTTTTTAGTTGAAACGTCCTCATTATGTGTACAGGTATGGCACCCAATAATTTTCCTGCCACATTTAAAGGGGAGAGAGAGAAACCTGATTAGCGTGAATAGTTCACTCAACCAGACGAGTATGAGGACCATAAAAGCCAGCAGTTGATCGTCATAAAACTCGAACAGAAAAAATAATATACCGATCATTATCTGCAACCACAAATGGTTTGGCATGAAATGTGGAAATCCAAAATTTTCATTTGCAAGTAAACGTAAGTAAATGAATAAATAAAATTCCAAAAATTCGTTGACTGACTATATATTGTGTGATGGTGAACAAAAACAATGTACTCTTACCGGCACAAAGACAAGTGATTCAATTACATGCACAAAAATTAACTGGAAAGTTGGAAGCTGATGACGAGCATGGTGTTGAAGCTGCACTGCAATAGTTTGGCAAAAGTAAGCACCCAAATATAGAGGCAGGATAAGGAGGATGTATGATGCACAGGGAAACCCAAACAATTACGTTGCCACCTCACTTTATTTATAAAAATGATAAACTCATCAAACCAGGGAACCAAAATGGATGATGTTTTCAGTGAACAAAACCTTAAATTTGATGGTATTACTAACACGTGAATAAATGCTATTTCCTGATTTAACGTCAAAATACAATTAAGAGTTTCCTAACATGCATTATTTCATTGTCTCAAGGACGGAAGAAGACACTAATGGGGGCATGTATTGTGAATGGAGCTAGCGTCTTGCTTTATCCAGAATAACAAAATTAAATAACACAAACCTGTGAACTTCAGCATGCGAGTCTGTGTCTCTCTCAATGTGAATGACACAGACATGGTGGTTGTAAAGAACACAAAAATGGACATCATAAGCACACCACATTTTGTCACAAGGTAGTCTGCACAGAAACCAAATCAAGACAGAATTTTTCTTAGCATAATGCATATAGAATTGAAAAAGAATAAAATATGTTTCAGCACCTTTTTTTTTTTTTTTTTTCCCATAAATACTTAATTTTTAGTAGTCTAAGGTCCCTGATAATGTAGCATATTTTACTTTTGAGTGTCCTCAGTTGATTGTTTGGCCAGATTTAATTCCATAAAATTTGTTATAACATCCTTACTTACACAATTTTTTTTTTCAAATACCCAAATTAACCTTTAATGTAAAACTGAAAGCATCACAGTTTTAAACATCATTACATACATTCCACGTGGCCGCCTTTTATAAAATATTTTTTTTGGGAAAGCGAAATTCAAGATCTATAAATCAATATTATGAAGAAAAAAAAAAAGTAAATAGGATAAATAATGCAACTGTGGTACAGCTACTTTAACCAAACCATCCTAAATCCTAAATCCCAGTCACCACCCAGTGAAAATTCTCAGCTGTCTTACAATCATTTTCCATAAAGTTCAAACCCTTCTAATCTCAAAGTCATTATTCCTGCAAATACTTACAGATCCAAATTTCCCAATACATTAGAGACCAGAAATACATTAATAAACTCGAGTAATGTTCTACCAACTTAGCTCTTGGTGTAGTGCTACTTGTCTTCCCAAGTATTGAATGAGGTTAAAAGTTTGATACCCCCTCCCTGATTGATTAAGGAAAAACAAGCATTCTAATGCTGTCACAGGTGCTTTACAGAATAACAAAAAGGTTTCTGTAGTATACTTAACAAGTACATTATGTATTCTTCGTTCTTTATGCATTTGAGAAGTAGATGCACTACTTTTTAACATAAGTTCATATTCATCAAAAAAATTATTTTATATACCTCAACAAGAAGTGCTTCTCATAACTGAAAATTTCACAAAGGCTGATGTAAAATAAAAGCCATGGCATCTTATAATTATATGTGAAAAGTCAAGTTTACTAGTGAGATTCACAATGAAACAACATTGCACAAGAATGGAAATAGAAGGCACAAGTCAACAAACCTCCAAACCTTGCAGGGCCTTGTGGCGGTTCTTGTGCATAGCTGATATTAAAAAACTCCTTTGTCTGAAAATTATAAAGATATCCTGCAATGTGTAATAACAAGCTTAGGCACAAGTCCTGAAACTCACTCTCAAGTGGTAATTTTGCCACTAAATTTAATTAATGCTCTCCTCCAAATGTCCTAGCTTATTTACAAGTGCCACATATAGAAAGGAAAAAGGAAATTAACTGCTAATTTACCTTGTCCAGGTGAACTCAATAAACTATTTATTAAAATAGTATCATATCCAACAAATCTGTTAATGAGTAGCTGCTGCCACCTGGTGATTCAATGTAAGCCACAACAATCAAAACACGTACTAGTTTACCACTCTCATATGCTTATTAATAACTCAAAGTTACAAATCAATATAAATTACAAAATTTCTTAGATAAATAATGCTTTTATGAGAAAAGAAACTGAAAGTAAAAGGTGCACCATGAGTATCCATTGTTGATAAATTGCAAAATATAGCACACATAAGCAATATACTCATCGGAGTCCTGAATTATTGAGCTATATTTGATCCCAACCAGGCTATCCGAAAAGTTAAAAGATCTCCTAAGTCTCTCATCTTACTGAGAAAAATAATTTCAAAAAAGTGTTACTTTAGTAACAAGCCATCCAAGCCTAAAGAAAAGTATGGCTACTATCTCAGTATACAACGTACAAATATATTAACAAAAACAACAATAAAAATGGCCAATAAATAAATCACAATATTCCTGATTAAAAACCAAAAAACAAACACTCTTGCATATGACAGGTAAGCTGTACTTTATGAAAAAAACAAAGCCAAGGCAGACAACTGATGTTTCATTTTGTATGCTACAAGCACTTGGGTTAAGTTGACTTTGATTTAATGTATGGGTTCTAGACAAAAATTTCACTACCAAAACCAAAAGCACACCACCCAAACCAATATATGTAGTTATTTTCAGGAGATAATATCATTACCTGTTCCCAAAACAAGAATGCCGAGCTGATATGCTAATGTTTACAGCACGAATATTATGCCGAGACCTGGCACTTTCAGGTAGTAAGAAATAACCCTACAAACAAAGTTGATAAGGACATTAGAAAACTATTACGAAACAAGCTTCTGAAGCCAAAACCTGTGCAGTCCAATTCATCAGAAAGTTTGGGAGAAATGAGTGGAAATAATCTATCACATTCAAAATTAACCTTTTCCATAGTGTACAAATAGGTTGGTTCAAAAGTTTTGCTTCTGGTCTCAAGCCACTGCACTGAAACAGATTCAAAACAAGTTGTCAATAGCAATGACTTTCAGTTCTCATAAGCTCAAGAAAGGCTGTTGAAAACTGATACACTGAACAAAATGATACAGTGCAATCCAAATTGGTGAACTTTGATAATATATTTTATACTGGCTATAAAGTAATGATAACTAGAAACATGGATTCAGCTCTCATGTTTCTTTTCCTAATTGCTGCCTTTGGTTCCAGCAGCCAACTCCAAACACAACAGGACAATAAAACACAACCTTTACCCAATCCAATGACTGAAAATAAAAGGAAAGCCCCTAATTTACTTAGACAATGAAGCCCAAAAGAAGGTAAAGAACCTAGCTGTGTCCAAAATAAAAGTACATATCGTTGAAATCTCTCTTATTAGCAAAAAGAAAAACAAAAAAAAAAAAAACAAAAAAACAAAAAAACTAAAAACTAAAAAACAAAAAAGTAACTGCTCAACCATTTGTCCTTTTCGGAGTATATTACAAGTGGTACAACAGTCACAAATTATCTTATTAGAAAGAAGGGTTTTAGATGAATGACTCAAAACAAGTGAATAGACAACATCTTCAGCGAGACTGAAGTGAACTCAAGGATGGTACAACAGCAAAATTTTGTTCCATTGATAGCCTTGATGCGATAATGTACTGCAGCAAGGGTATCTACGTTGTCCACTATTTAGCTTTAAGACTTCATGATTTACAAAAAATATTCATGTAAGCAATTTTCATGGTGTCTAAGATATACTAAGAATTGGTGCTATGGCAAATAGGAGTTTCAACTAGAACAAACACTAATAAATGCTTCTCCACCATGCTCCTCCATAGGCCGGACTTTCAACATTAAAAAACATCCTCTTACACGAACATAATATCTAAAGTCTCCAGACAACTTGCTGAAAATGACGTTGTATACCTTTGTTTTGTATCCCAATCAAGCATTTGCAACCAAATCACGGAAACAGCATTCCAAATTTAAATCCTTTGTACAAAAAAGTATATAAAAAAATCACGTCCAACCAAGGCAAAGATTCTTATTTTCATTATCATTGAAAAAGTTTGTGCCTTTGCAGACTTCTTGTCTGCTCTCGTATTTTTATTATTTCTTTGATATAAAAATTTGTTTCTTCTTCTTCCAGAAAGGAAAAGGTGGAAAAATGGTTTGTGCTCCTTTAATTATTAAACTATAAGACTCGGTTTAAATGCACTATGTAATTAACTGTTTTTCTTTTCCCGGATGAAAAAATAAAATAGAACAAACATGGGTGTATGGAATCCAAAATGATGCTATGCAACGAATGGTTAAAAGGATAGTCAGAAACCTGCATACAAGTTAAGCCTGTCCAAATGAAGTATGCGCAACCACTTGGGAATATCAAGATCTAAATGTATCCCTGCAATGTTCTGCACTTCAAAATAAAAATCAGCAAAAGGGTCTTTAAACTACAATACAAGAAGCCAAATAATGTTCACACAAAGCATCCGTTTCCAAATATGAAATTGGTCAAATGCACGAGAGAGAGAGAGAGAGAGAGAGAGAGAGAGAGAGTGCCACTGCAAGCGGCAACTATTTCAATGTTAAGGGAATCAGCGGGTAGGACGAAACTACAAAGAAAAATTAGAAGGGGAAGAAAGGCTTCTTCAAAATCCTTCAAACATCAAGGTAAAGTGGGGTTATACGACAAAGTGGATAGAGCCAATTTTTCTTTATTGAAAAAAAGAGACATGCCCATGGCAATTTCAGTAATGATAATTTTCAACATGAACTAGATGAAATCAAAGGTAAATGGACCTTGAAACATAACATACTGCCACTATTGATAATCACAATCTTCCAAAACTACCAACTATTAGTTTGAGCTGTTTGTTTTGGTAAGTCTATTTTGGATCAATAAAAGTAATTGGAGGTTTACATAATTATGCAATGCTGTTAGATTATGGGCACCTATTTTGGGACACCTAAAAACAAAATGATGGAGAAAATTTGAGATCTGGGCAGATATATAAATTTCTTACCATGTCAATGAAATTCACATCAACATATTCCAAAGCACATAGAACACCCTATAAGGATAGCAGTAACAGCAGAATGCAATAACACTACAAAGTATAGAAACCAACCACAAATCAATTATGCACACTGGTTTATTCCAATGATTTTGGTAACTAGAAAACAGGGTCAAGATATTAGTGGTTCCAAGGATGACTATAGTTCAGTTATTAATTTTCAATTGCCTCAGTCTACTTACCCATAAATTTCCAGTTATTAATTTTCAATTGCCTCAGTCTACTTACCCATAAATTTCCAATGACATGTGCTCCATGTTTCCGAAAGACTGAAAAGAGACGGGGACGCATTTTCCACAGTTTGATAAAGTTAACAAGTGCGGCCCTAACTGTATCTTTCATAGGTGAAAGAAAACTACTACGTCTCTCCTTTATTTCATTTTTGACAACGGCATCATCAAGTGTTGCCATAGTATTCAGGCTATCGGTAGAGCTATCTGTCTGTCGATCAAGAACTTCAGTATCAGTCTTCAGTTCCAATTTACCACTCCTAACACCAGAACCAACCCAAATCAACAAAAATTTTGAAGCAAAAAATGTCAATCCATTTCCATCTACATTAGCAAAGTCTTATTTATACATTACAGATTTTGTGTCTGGGGCATCATCCATCACATTGGTGAACTCTGACTCATTCTGCGACCACAACCCTGCACTAGTTATCTAAATCAAAACAACAGTTAGTATTTAAGAGATGTCTGTTAGGCCACAATAAGAAACAAACTCAATCTCCTGTTGGATTTCATGGTTTCAAGCTTAGTGAATCTGTAAGTATTCTTGTGTTGTTAGCTTTGCTTTACCTCCATGTTTATGAATCTCTGAGCTACTTTGTTATTGAGCTTTGGTTCAGTTAAGTTGCCCCCTTTGACATTTGACCCTCTTTTGATTATTGATTCTTATACCATTGCCTTTGTTTCATCGCTCAAAGTGTTTATGGTCAAACATCGAATAGGATCTAAACTTGTGGTTGACTCAGTTCGTCTGAATCATAGTGTCTGTGCCTTCTTTGTGTAGGAGTCAGGACCTCTGATCAGTTGGTAGTAACACACCACCATGAGAATAAGGCCTCATTGGATTTACTGATGAGGAATTACAGATGCTGTTTGTATCGTTATTGATCATTGAATTTATGTGTTCATTGTATTGCACCTCTTGAATCCAACTTCTTTGATTGTGCGTTTAATCATTTCATATCAGATATTGTTGCTTACTGAGCTTTGTAGCTCACCCATTTTTTCCTTCTCTTTCGGATCAGCTTGGGTTAGAAGTTGACATGTTTTGAATGTTTTTGAAGAGCTGTAGAAGATTTTGGTTCTTTTAGGAAGAATTAGATGTTTCAATAGCTGTTTTGATAGCTTTGTGTACTTTAGAAGTTTAGTACTTTTACTGGATTTTGGAGCCTTTGTAGTTCATTTTGAGGTTTATTGTAAGAAATGGTAACGAACTGTTTATGTTCAGTTTTGGAGACTTTAAAGTAGTTACTTTTTGCTCTTAAAAGTAAGTGTCACCTGCTCGGGTTTAGATTGGGCCAAATTGGGGCGTGACAAGACATGACGACATACCTTAATTTGAATAATTTGGGCTTCTGTTGTTTCGACACCAGAAAGTTCACTTGAACAGCCAGGCTTCCAATGCAAGGGAATCAAAGTTAATTCAAAGGCTCAAAAGATTTTATGGAATAAAACTTTAAAAAAAAAAAAAAGGGAAAACACAAAGTGGGCATACATCTGGAGCACACCTAAACAATTATCTAAGCATTTCCTTGAAAACTAAAATGATCAGAGCAGGGCATGGGGATGCAGAGACACAAATACATTCTCAACAAATAAAAACACATATATGGTGGGAAATAGTTGTGATTTGTGAATATACAAGTTTTCTCGGCGCTCAAGCCCCTATGCAGCATTATATCCAAATTCTACAGTACAATAAGTTGATTTCAGATATGGAAACATGATAAACAAAAAAACTGTATAAACTCTATTTTGATGACATCAAGGCTGAAGAAACTCGACCGGAACTGATCGTCTATCTAATTTTAACTTTTAAAGACCCAATCAAGAGGGCCAACTATGAGCTCACCCACCCATGTTACTGTGAAGTATGAACTCACAAAATAAAATGCACATCAGCAAAATTAAGACCTACAAGCGATCAAGAATTTACATGAATGGAACTCAAACTGAAATGCTATTGGTGAAGATTTACACGAACTAAGCTCGAATCGATCAAAACCCTAACAGAAACAAACTACTAAGGCAAATGTAAGCACAAATTACAATTCTCCAGCTGAATTTCAAATTCAAAAACCCTAAAAAGCATAAAAATCCGCACAAGGAAGTAGGGAAAAACCTGTTGAACGTAATTGGCGTGCATCACAACGAGAATAAAGAACAAGGTGATGGCGATGAAGAGGTATATATACTCCAAAGCAGCTCTCACTTTCGGCGTCAGGATCTGCGAGAACCGCTCTTGTACTCGGATGAAGGTCTGCTCCGCATCCATGGCTTCTTCTCCCTTTCTCTCTGATATTTCTCTCTCCTTCTCTACCCTTTCATACTGTGATAAGTTTGGGGTTGAGAAACGACGATTTTCCCGAGGAAGTGATGGAACACCGATTACGTCATGATGTTTGAAGGAATGGGTGTAAATATCTGACTTTCTTGTTTCACGTGTCAAATTTGTTGGAAACGATCGTTTCGGATATCTTCTACCAAATTCATTTTATCATCTAATTCAGAGTCTTAAAATTTGATCTAAATATTAAAATTATTATAGTTTTTAAAAGAATTTCTTGTTTTTTAATTTTTAAATCAAATTTCAAATATCTGAATTTGTTGATTAGTTGAATTTAATGGAAGGAATCCGAAAAAGATTCATTTCCAAATTTGTTATACTAAATCCTAACAGATTCTATTGTGTAAGAGTCCGGAAAAGATCCATTTCAAGTTCTGTTCGAATCCTCCTCCCATTAATTCATATTATTCTATTGTTTGAAAAAAAAAAACTACAAACTCAACCCATTAAAATTAGGGATAATTTGATATAGATCCAATTTTGTGAGCCATTAGTACAATTAGTCCACTGCATTGAAATAGGTCCAATAATTGATATTCCACGTAAGCTTATTTATAATTTGTACCATATTTATCCCTTAGACTTATAAATTGTAGTAAATATTCAAAATTTCTTAATTATATGATTATTTGTGGTTTAACTTATCCCTTAATTGTAGGATTAGTTATAGCAATTGAAACTTAGTATTTGTTCCTTTTTTTTTTGTTTAGTATTTGTTCCTTTAATGGAGGTATATTATATCATATTTCTATTCTAATGTTTTGCCATGGAGGTTCAGCATTTTTCTTCCTATACAATAGGTAGTTTATTTTTATTTTGTTGGTAGATTATATCTATTTTGTAGGTATAAAGCATTTTTCTTCCTATACAATAGGTAGTTTATTTTTGTTTTGTAGGTAGATTACATCTGTTTTGTTGGTATAAAGTATTTTTCTTCCTATACAATAGGTAGTTACTAAATTATATCGGTTTTGTAGATAAACATCATTAGGTGGTTACTAGATAATATTTTAGTTAGTATTTAAATATTCAAAATTAAAAACTGAATAAATGATACAAAAATTAAAGAATTTAAATATTTTTATCTAAAAGGGCAAAATTAGTATAAAAATATGTAATTGGATAACTGGACTTAGTTAAAAAACTACCTTTATTTTTGGACCTAGATCGAAAAGCCCCTTAAAATTAATATGTTGCCCGACTCGTGATGTTTAAGAACAATATACTTATTTCAATAAATAATCAAAAGAAAAAACAATACTAAATTACTAAATATTAATATCTAAATTATGAAGTTTTTTTTATTCAACAATCCAGCTACAATCATTTCATTAAGCACTATACTTACATGCTATTTAAATGAACATTAATCTTTCAATTATTACATACTAAAAAATAAGAGTTTGATGAAAATACATCAGTATTTTATTTTAATCTTTCGAAGTATTATACACCCAAAAATAAGAGTTTAGTGAAAATACAATAGTATATTTCTATAAAATGCCACAGGTTTAAGCATATATCTAAAATAAATTCTTTTCAAGAAAATTTAATAGAGTGTTTTTGGGTCATATTCCACGGAAGAATAACAAACTTTCTGACTATCGGGAAATAAGAGGGTTTGCATTAGGAAATGTGCATAAAACATCTCCCATATGAAACTGGGTACAAGTATAATTTAGGTGAAATGATTTGAAACATAAGAATGTACTATTTTCACATAAGTCGTGACAATTTAAATACAAATAAATCAAGTTAGAAGTAGTTGGGATGGTTTACAACGTAGAGATTGGGTTCTTAAAATGAAACACTCTTGAAATTTGTTCATAAATCTCGTAACAACTCATACCCTTTTATGAAAGAGTTCGAAGTTGGTCAAACTACACTTGTTCGTTAAATTAACCTCGGTACTTAAGTGTTAATTTTTCTTTGCAAGAGTGCTACTAAGCCCACCTCAGTGTCTTATTACTTCACCCACTTTAAAATAATATTTTAATGACAAATTTATCCTTGTATAAAATGACCTTCAAAGACCTAAAAACCAACCAATCATATTTTGCCACAAGCCCCTTCACCTCCACAATTAGGATAAATCATTAGATAATTTAGTATTACCACATCAGCACATAACTACCACTCAAAATTTAACACATATACAATTATTATACAGCTAGACTTAAAACTTATTTTAACATAAAAAATGAAATTAAAAGAAAAAAAAAACTTGAAGAGCCCCATAACCACCACCCTCCCCAACCTCGAACTCCACAACTTCACCCCATTTTAATTTCCTACCTTACTACTTCAACCCCAAACACTACTGCTTCTTCCTCCTTCCCTCTCTTTCTCCTCTTCCTCTCTCTTATGCACTGGCTTTCTCACTGATTGTCTCGTTCGCCATGGCTGAGACCTTCGCCAAATTCGTCAAGGCTATGCTTGGACGGCAAGCCCATCTCGTCCACTGATCTCCTTTACAGTCCTCCAAAGACTCGATCAAATAGGGACTCGAGAACCATCTTCCGATTCCCAAAACATGCCATTGAGGCCGAACAAGGATTTTGGGCGAGGAGGGGCGCTAGGTGTGTTTTTTTTAAGGGGCGGTTGGGTTGAGGTTTGGGTGTGTTGATAGTGACAGTTCTGGGAATTTTTTGGGGAGGGGACTACTGTGATATTTGGAGTTGGAGTTGTTGGGCATATTTGTTTGATAATTTTCATTTTTGTTAAATTATAATAAATTTTTTATGTGTGTTCTATCTTTTTATGGTGGATGTGAATATAAGGTGGGTGGATCGGCTAAGGGGAAGAATCCAATTCCAGCCCAACTGACGAATCTTCGTTTTTATGGTTTGTGAGGAGGAAGATTATCTATAATTTCGAATTTACAGCAGCATAATTAGGCTGCATATTTTTGTTGCAATCTGCATATGTTTTTAGGGTTACAACGCTTGAACTTATTTAGGGTTCTTGATGCCTTACTTTTTGTGTTCATAAAAATTCAAAATCCCTTGTTACGTCTTGTTACGTTGAAAAGTAATTAACGGCTCGAGTATGGATGACCTACTTATTAACGTATCTGTACATTTTGCGAAACACGCAGATAAGAAGAAAGAAAAAAAGGCGGCTGTTAAAGACTTTCCGATGACAGACCTAAAGAATGTAAAGGCTGTTGCAGACTCTCTGGCTCAACTCCAACTTGAGGAGAAGAATCCTAGCCCAGCTTTTTACAAGGAGGACAAAATTCCCAAATGCATAGTCGAGCCACGCGTAGTTTCCGAATTGCCGTCTAGTTGTCCAATTTGCACTAAGTTTGGCCACGCTCCTGAACAATGTCCCCGGAAGAGACGACTCCCTTTTGGCGTAACTCAAGTTGGCAAGGGCTATGAAATATACGGGCGGCATGTTCATATTCTTTGGTGTTCCTTTTGTGATTAGATTGGTCACCACAGGACCTCAGAATGCCCGAAGCCAGACAAAAAGATTGAAACAACTAGATTATGGAAAGAGTTCTTCTTCCCTGAAGATAAGGACGGTTAGGGTTCTCCCAGTCCCACCCTTTTGACCAATGATATATCATCCTTCTGATTTTTTATCAATGATATATCATCCTGCTGATTTCTTATAGCTGAATCCGAGGAGGCCACTTGGTGCATACATGCAGCAGCGGTTGAATTATCGTTTCATTTCGGCACGCTATATTATATGTTCTTAAGGACTCATGTCGGACCTGGAATACTTGAGCTAGATAACTCAATCGTCGCCGTTCATACATAGCGTTTGTTTAATTTAGATTTTGATACGATTTTTTTTGGAACAAGATTTTGATACAATTTGCATGTATTGGTGGTGCTTTTAAATGATAATTGTTGCGAGTGATTCTGAATGAAACTAATCATCAACCAAAAATGTTGGTGGTTATTTTTGGAATTCTGTTGCAAATTGGACTGGATCTTGGTTGTCTAGATATCTTGCTTTAACTTTGGACTGGATATACGAGGTTCTGGCAATGGTTGCTTGGGGTACGCGTTATCTCTGGTGGGGGTATGTAATTTCCATGCAACGAACCTTTCGTCTTGTTTGTTTGACTGGGCAACAATAAGTTGCAAAGCTTCCCCAAATGGCAAAAGCCTCCATAATTAAGGAAAATATCTATGGTAAATATTGAAGGTGAAAATTTAAATATAATGTTTGTTTATACAACAATATACACATCGCTATTAGCCCTAACACTAGTCGCTTCTAAATTATTCCGAAATAGTAGGCAAAGTGTTGGCAAAATGCATGTAAAAATAAGGATCTAGGAATTATATATGAAGGGTTCTTACGGTAAGAACATGTTCACTGATTGAGCTGAAAATTTACAAACGTTATTACCGGTAAGAACACTTGTAAAGTCTTAGCTTTATTAATGAACGTGTTCTTACTAGTAAGAACACGTGTAAATTTTCAACTTTACTACTGAACTTGTTCTTACCGGTAATACCACGTTCATATATGACTAGTCTTGTTTTGTGATCTACAAGGAAAGACTATTACGAGACCATTAAAATTGATCAAATAAGGAAAGTACTCATAACCAGTAATTTTTTAGTAAAAAAGAGTAAGAAAGCAAATCATTGAACATATATTTTCCGAGTTTATGTATTTGAGTTCAAATGACACGCTCCGATCTCGATATCCTCCAAATACCAGGGTAGGTATATAAGTCTGTCGAAGGTTTAGTATACTCGGCAATCCAATTAGAACCGAAAAAACATACTCGTGCAACTGCAGTCTCTCTCTCTCTGACAAAAGCCATGCATCGCCGACCCAAAGCCACATCCAAGGCGAAGGCTAGGTCCAAGTCCCTCGCCGGACAAGGATCCGGGAGGGGTAAGAATCCAATTCCAGCCCAACCGACGAAGCTCCGAGGTGAGATTTGGAGTCCTTTGACATGCTTTTCAATTTTCGTTTTTAGGGTTTGTGAGGAGGAGGATTATCTGTATTTTTTGTTTAATATACAGCAGCTAAATTGGGCTGCGTATGTTTGTTGC